CCGTTTTCCACAAAGCGCACCTATGAATCCGGGCCCTGTTCAAAGGTGCGTGTGACCCGAGGCAGCATACGTGTGCCTGGGGAGCGGGAAGGCGCCGGTTCGACGAGGCATGGCAAATGGGGAACGGCCAGACTAGATTTGTTTCTTTCATTTACTTTGTGGGCAATTTTCTCAGTGCCACCAAGGTTTGTGTTTGTATTTGCTTCTCTCTCTCTCTTTCCCTTTCTCCCTTTCTCCTTTTGATGCTCTGTGTTAGTGTGTGTTTGTGAGTGTGCGTGTGTTGCATCCTTGTTGCTTCTCTTGCTTGCGTTTGTCTTTCTCTCGTTTTGTGCGTATGCGTAGGCATCCTCTCTCTTGGGTCTTCTCTTAGGTGTTTGTCTCTACGGTTCCGTGTCTGTCTTTGTGCGTATTTTTGCATCGATATCCTGTTTGCCCCTGGTTATGCCAATGTGTATTGTGCACTTTGGCATGCATGCGTTTATATGTAAGCATCCCGTCTTTTCGTCTTTGGGTTGGGCGCCTGTATTGGTGCATTTGTGCTATAGAACGTATGTTTGTTTATGTGTGTGTGTGTGTGTGTGTTTGAGTGCGTCTCCCTCCCTCCCTCCCTCCCTCCCTCCCTCCCTCCCTCCCTCCCTCCCTCCCTCCCTCCCTCCCTCCCTCCCTCCCTCCCTCCCTCCCTCCCTCCCTCCCTCCCTCCCTCCCTCCCTCCCTGCCTCCCTTCTCCCTTGTTTGTTTGCTTGCTTGCTTGCTTGTTTGCTTCATGTTTGCTTGCTTGCTTGCTTGTTTGTTTGCTTGTTTGTTTGTTTTTTTTGTTTGTTTGTTCGTTCGTTTGTTTGTTTTTGTTTGCGTGTTTGTTTTTTTGTTTGTTTGTTTGTTTGTTTGTTTGTTTGTTTGTTTGTTTGTTTGTTTGTTTGCTCGGTTGTTTGTTTGTTTGCTTGCTTGCTTGCTTGCTTGTGTGTGTGCGCGTGGTTTTACGTGTGCGTTTGTGTGTGTGTGTGTGTGTGTGTCGGGGTGTGTGTGTTTCTCTGTGTGTGTGTGTGTCTGCGTCTGTGTCTGTGTCTGCGTCTGTGTCTGTGTCTGTGTCTGTGTCTGTGTCTGTGTCTGTGTCTGTGTCTGTGTCTGTGTCTGTGTCTGTGTCTGTGTCTGTGTCTGTGTGTCTGTGTCTGTGTCTGTGTCTGTGTCTGTGTCTGTGTCTGTGTCTGTGTCTGTGTCTGTGTCTGTGTCTGTGTCTGTGTCTGTGTCTCTGTGTGTGTGTGTTTTGTGTGTGTGTGTGTGGGCGCGAGATGCATGTGTATGTGTATGTCTACGTGTATATGTATGTGGATCTGTTTGATGATCACCTGGTTTTCTTTGCGTGAGTATGTTGATTTTGTCAGTGCTTCGGAACCTACATCCCTATATCTTTGTGCGTGTTTGTGCGCTGATATGTGTTTATATTGTTGCTGTCTTCTCCTGTGTCCTTCCGATTGTTCAATCCAAATACATAAGGGTTGCTTTGCGAGACAAGCAACATAACATTAGCTTGTTGCATGCCTAGATCCCAGCATGGCTTTCTGTGTGTGTGTCTTTACTGATCCCTGTGTCTGAAATACGATTTCGTTGCAACAGCAACCGTCGCCCAGTTGCAATAAGCATGCTCAGCTGGGCATCTGGTTGCAGCAATGACATGCATTGGTGTTTTCATGATCTAGTTCCTGATCTAGTTCGTGATTCCCGATCCAGACAGGGTGCCCCTGTTGCTTGTATTTGGCAAGAGGGCAGCCTGAATGCACATATACAGCAGCCCTTTATCAATGCTGTGGATGCAGGTTCCCCTAATGTAGCATGGCATTCGATAATAACGACTTACAGTGTTAATTTCTTTATGGCTATTTGGTTAGGTTTATGGACTTTAACTTTCTGGGAAATAATGGATTTCCCATTGGACCCACAAACAAATGAATCTTTTTGCAGAGGGCTCAACAGCAACCAAGTTTGGCAGCTTGCTTGTTGGGACCGGTCCCCCTAAACATGAAGCTGGAGCAACCTCCTGCCTCGAGCCTTGCTAGGTGGACGGCAACTGGCGTTCAGCTTAGTTGCGGAGGTGCAGCTCCTGCAAGTGTTCGAAGTTAAGATATGCAGATACCGAGGTCTGGCACTGTAGGGGTTGGTGCGAAAGGGGCTTGGTTGTAATTTCTATTAATTACTGTAGCGAAATTCTGGTCTTTCTCGCCGGCCAGACAAAGGCAACATACGCGCCCTATCCGAGGCCAGTGCAGCCAAGCTGGGTGCGTTCTTGATGAGCGCTGCGGGGAAGAGGACCATTATCACCCGCTGAGCCGAAACGGATGGCACAGCGTTCTCCTGAGTTTCAGGAGAAGCGGGCGTCCGACCAGTGCCCAAAATCATGCGAATTTCCAGGTGATTGAAGAGACTTCTTCAACCTTCAGTTTGTGAGATTTACTTACATTAACTCCTATAATTAGGACCAAACCGTGGATATGAGCGCTGTTCAATCGTCTCATCCGTGAGATCGCAGCCGCAGCCATCGTGACTGGCGATCGAATCCGATCCTTCAGCAGCCGGAAGGCTAGAGGTTTGCTTCGACAGGCATCAAGCTTAGCAGTCCCTGGAAAAGGCATCGAGCCAGATTGAGCAGATTTCGCTGCTGGGCTCGAGCTGAGCCACAATCAAAACCTGGGCAACTTGAGTGAAGGTACTCGATAGTCCGAACCACCCATAGGTGTGGATACTTGTCCTATTGGTTCTTTACAGGGTGGACAGTACCAAGGTTTGATTGTGACTCAGTTGTCTTTACCTGATGACTTACTCTGTTTGGAGGGGGCTACGCTTGGAACAGTCTTCCTGCTTGACCGTTGCCGGAAGTTTAATGTTTACCAGTATTCGTACAGCGCTACAGAGTCTCTCGTCACGCTGTGCATGAGTCATGAACTAGTCATGAGCCACACGAGGGGCCGTTATTTTGCAGCGGTGTTACTAGGGATGGGTCAAAGGCTTGTGCTAGAAGGGGCTGCTCCCTTCACGTGGACACCAATCCAATGTTGAGCGGAACCGAGGATAGCTTTGTACAGTTGACTTCCCAACAGGTTTCCAGCTAAGCCACAATTTCTGGCACACTTCCTGCCAGCAACCCACAGCTTCTGGAACACACACACACACACACACACGCAAACTCCCGGGGGTGTCACGGATTCGCTCGTGGACACTGAGAAGCGTGACGAGTCTCGGAGGTTCGGGGTCGGGGCCGCACCGGCCAGCTGCGTGAGTTGCAGTCCGGGCCCGCGAGGTGGAAATTGCCCACGTCATCCCTGGTTTCGGTTTACGTGTCTGTATTGTCGAGTGTCATCGAGGTGGTCATCCCTGGTACTTCGGTTAAGTATCCCATAGCGTTGTGTTTAGTTTTTCTTTGTTGCGTGACCTGCTTTTCAAGTCGAAGCGTTTGCAAGGGGACTGATCACCAGTTGGTTTTGTCACGTGCCTGCTGTGTTGTTGTTCAGGCGGGCAGCGGTGTGCTCATGCAGGCCCCAGCCAGAGCGATGCCTTCGAGCATGGGAAAGTGAAAGGTCGTGGGGCAAAATGCCCAAAAGCGACTTGCTGTTTTGGGTCGCTTCCTCGGTTGGATGGGTGTATTTTTTTGAGTCGTGACAGGGAGTGGCAGATTCAGCAGTGCAACTGAGGGGGCCAGATATCCGGCCGAAGTAGATTGGTCCTTGAGAGTTCAGCCGATGTTCTTGTATTGATCTACTTCCCCGGGAAACGCCATGGCTGTACAGTATCCGTTCCGGAGAGCGCACAGGGCGGCGCACAGTGCGGCGGTTGATGCCGGAGCCATTGGCGACATGCTGCGCTGCGAAAGTCTACGACACACCTGGCAGATTGTTTCTTGCCTCTTTGTTTCAAGGGACTTGGGTGGGCCCCAGCCAGATGGAAGTGAATGTCAAGGGATTCTGTGCAAATTATATCATGGGTTCATGATCGACTCTTACCGCGGTCCACTCAGAACTCCTGTGAAGCGGGCCACCTTTCGGGCTACTTGATTGACAGCTTTGGAGAAACCGCTCATTACCTCTTGCCCCAAGGCCCCAAGAAAAGGCGGCCCATGGAAAATGTGGGGCTGGCGTTTCGAAAGTGCAGGCCAACCGGATTGGGTTTGGCCTGCATGTTCCCACGCGCGGGTCAAGCCTTGCGCTTGCTTTGCCACGCGCGAGAGTGAGCTAACTGGTGCGGACTTGAACTTGTCACTGTCATGAGCTCCGCTATCCCAGGGCAGGATGCAGCTGCGTGGGACATTGACCTTTGACCTTTTGGCTGTTGCTTTGCCCGGGGCTGCTGAGCTGCCGATTGGCGAAATCACCCGTCGGCCAGTGACACAGAGACGATTGCGGAGAGAAAGCCGCCCGCGAAAGAAAGCATGTGAGAAGTTTGAGTCAAATAAAACCCTGCAGTTTGCCTCGGTAGGGAAGTTGGAGATGATCTACTGGCGATGTTCCGAGGGCAGCCCAACGTTTTTCCGTTTCCTCGTGTGGAAGCAGCGATGGATATTGGCGTGTCAAATCTACACCCAGGCAAAGCGCAACTCTTGGGTTTTTGCATCAGTGATAAACAACCACTGAGTTCAACCATATAAATCCAGGGATTTAACATTATGCCATTATACCCTTGGATCTAAGATCTGTTTAGCCGTTCCTGTGACGAGAACCTTGGATCTATCTAAGTTTCTGAAATCAGGATTTAGATGTCTAAAGGGTCGAGGACTCACTGTTCTCCATGCCAGCTATCAACGAGGGGCGAGGGAAGCATGTATAACGTATGTTTGCACTGCGTGTGTTTGCTGTGCTGGATCGCTTACAAGTGACCTGTCAGCAAAATCTTATAAACAGATTAAAGCAACTGTATGGACACATCAGACCATGTGTTTGAAGAATAACTGCAGATATTCCTAAGCTGAATGCGTGAAACGAATGGCCTGAAGCACAAAAGAAAGACCTCCGCACGAGGTCCGCATGGCCTTAGACCGGCGGAACTACCGGCAGCTGGTGGATACCACGGTGGAGATCGCCAACAAGGTGCCAAAAAAGGTGTGTCAAAACGGCCCGGAGGCCGCTTGAGGCTTCTGGGTAGAAGGGAGAATCCAAACCAGAAAGACGGGGGTTCTGGGACCATGTTAATACCAGGTGTTGAAGTTATGACTCACTTAGGGTTCGACACCTAGACCTGGTGAGAGATAGCTGGTAGGATTGGCCCCCCAGTCCCGAGCTCGATAGGTTTGGGTAGGGTTTGGTGCAGATCTGGCAGCAATCCGCATCTCCCAGAGACAAACCAAGATCCCACTCGGCTTCTGGCGACGGCGTGGCAGGTCGGTGGTGCAGACATCATCGGCCGAATTGTAGAGGACGCGGATCGGAGACGGCGAGGGTACTAAATAGCATCTGGTATTTTCCCATAAAGACTCAAGCCACACCCTGTTTGAAGACACCAAGCAGGGAATCAGAAATGGCTGGAGATGCTTGAGTACACGTACTAATGTATATATATATATATATACACATGTCTACATACTTTCCTTTTTCTTCATCCCTTTCTCTCGCATATCGGTGAAGCGAGAGACAGTGATGAAGTTTTTCTAAGAGGTGTTTGTTCTGCTCTGTATGTGACCCGCGAGGCCTTGGATGGTCACTCGAGTCCTTTCGCAGGACCTGAAGGATGCGTCTGAGCCTTACCGGAAGATGGTGATGGAGACCATCGACAAGGCTTGGACGGGCAACACGCAGTCACCGTCCATCTTCCGCATGCAAAATCATGCCCAACGGGGTTCCTCAACTGGATACTTGGAGAATCACTTTCTATTTGACTTAGATTTCGCAGCAGAGGTGTGGACGTTGCTTTCCACAGATCCTACAAGCGCCTGCCAGAGTTCCCGGTGCTTGAGTCCGCAGGTCCCTCGACTCTTCTGTTAACTCCTTGGTCTTCAAGTCCAAGAATGGATGGCATTCGCTTCGATTCAGCGCAGATTGATTTGGGGATTTGGGCAACAGGTGGGATCGATTCCCCCGCCAGCCGCACGCATGTTGCACGCTTTGTTGGGCATGGTACCCCAAGGAGGTTTGCTGGGAGAGAATGACTGAAGAATCTAAGAACATGAGCGGCGGTAACTGTGGGTGCAAATGATGATGTTGCCCATCGTGCCTTTGTGCCTTTTAAACTTTTCGGACCCGCGGTCCGAAGCCCGTCCCTTCCTGACGCCTGACGCTTGTCAGGTCATTGGCAATTTGGGCGTCGCGGATATCGACTCCCGTCTCGAGGCGGGCGGCCGGCTTTTCAGAGCATCTTTTAGAAGCTTGGCATGGATGCACCGAAGATGTGCACTTTGGCTTCCCTGCACAGCCCAAGCAAAAGGGTGCCAAACCACCCCTACACTAAAAGAGGCAAATCATAGCGACTTCTCTTTCCGATCGTTTGCCAGCTCAGCAGTCATGAAAGTTCCTTTCTTGGAAGGTGAGTTCGCCAAATTTGTGCATTGGTAAGTAGGAGGGTTCCTATCTGATTTTGGTTCGGTGAGTTATTGTGTTAGTTTATTCACATTTCTGGTTGTCATTGCCTATCTTGTTTTGCCAAGTCATCTAGATCTATTTGTCTTCCAGCAAGCCACTATGGTTGGAAACCAGGGGAAACATCCAATGGTTGCCTAAAAGCACTGGGTGAGTAAATCTGGCAGATTTCTCTTGCGCAACTAGAAGTCGATCTCAGCTCCCTCACTCTGGCTCGGTCGTTGATCATGCCTCTTGCACTTGACAGCGCCCCAGAACTGCTTCGAAGATGGCTCCTCTGAACGGTTCATTTTTTGGTGGCAACGTGGACCTACAGCAAAGTTCGAAGCTTGTTGATTGGCGTGCTGACGTTAAAACGTTGCGGCCATCATGCAAAATTGTTTTGCCTTGCTGATTGTTCACAGCATGTTCACCATGTTTCCTGCTGCCTGAATTTATGTTTGACTTTCCTTCAAACAACGACGCTATCCAGGCAGCCAGTTGGAAGGCTGAACATCTGTTGGTGCATGATTCAACAAGCAACGTTTGTTCTGAACACGACAAACCAGCTTGATGCTCGACATGTGTGAATGGTTGGGAGCAGATGGACGTTTGGCAGGAGCAGATCATCGATGGTATCGTGTACGCGTTCCAGGCGCGTGCATGTGAGCTGCACATGTTTTGGAATTGAAGCAACCTCTGCAGGGGTAGAACGTCCTGTCCCTCACCTTGCAACGTTGTTTTCCCCTTTTTCCTTCTTGTTTTTTGAAATCCATTTGGGCTTCACAACTCAACCTGTATTCTTTATGGCAACAAAAACAAGATCCATCCTTTTGCGAAAAGCCCCTCCGCGCTTTCGCCGCCGAGTGCAGCCGCTGAAATTTGGGTATGGGTCAAAATTTAACCACCATAAAAACCGTCTACTTTTCCATTTACCAGGGCAAGCCATTTTAGGGTTACCCCATTTTTGGCATACGGCCATTTTTCGTTTTCTCGGTGTCTCCGACGTTAACCGATAGGAGCAGACGTCGGACGACACCACGGTGATGCTCAACGGCTTCGGCACCGTGGTGAACTCTTTGGGCCCGCGCCCGGCACTCGGAACGTGTTCGATCCGAGTCGGCGAGAGTCGTCGGATGTGGCCGTGGGTCAAAACCGTGTTGGGATCCCGCTTTGGGGTAGGTGCACCACCCATTTTAGAACCTAGGTTAGTGGGGATTGGGATGTTCACTGGGGGTACGGGGTGTTGACCCATAGCCATTTCTGGAAGGCACTGACGGTCAGCAGAAACTGGAAAGCTGGAGTTTCTCAGGTAGTGACTGTGGGGGGTTATGGCAGAGACTACCGGTTTTGGTGAAACTGGAGTTTGCGAGCTTTGTGCACGTGAATAACTCCTGAGTGCGTTTTTTTTTTGCAGGGGTTGGTGGATTTGACAAAGTCGAAAGATCACTGCTTTGAAGGGACTCTGGTCATGATTCGGCATGCAGAGGTGCTGTATTGCCGGTAGGATCATATGGGAAAAAACATATGTTTTGCGTAGTGTGATTCGCTTCCAGTAGCGAAGCCGTAGCATCCAATCCCGCAAGCATACTCCCAATTGCCGAGTGCAAGTGTTGACCCTCCCCGAAGCAAGGCGAGGCACGTTGCTTCTGGTGGACAAACCTGTTGCAATGTGTGGTTGCGTTGCATTGCCAGTCCATGATTCTGAGCAACCCGCTGTTGCTCCCAAGCGGGCCCCGAGAGAGTCCCCAAAGGCTTATACTGTATCCTACCCTTTGCCCCCAAGCTGCACGAGGATTTTTTCCCATTTAAGAAGCCGTGCTTATTACGCCACATGTTCTCATTGAAGCAATGAGCCCATTGCTCAAAACGTGTCCAAGCACATTTCTTTCCGCATCGTCACTAGGTGGCCTTTCCCAGCTTATTTCTTGCCCCCTCTGGAAAGCAACGGTTGCAAGCAACTCCAGCCTCCATGTGTGCAACACGAGGTTGAGGATAGCTAGGGGTGGGGGGGCTAGGGGCACCCAGGATTTAAGAAATCTTGGTTGATTGGAGGGGGTGTTCACACTTTGACTTTGGAGGGGAGTCTTCACTTAGGGCAAGAACCCCCTCAAACTAATCTAGGTGTGTTGCGAACCAAAGCCATCTACCAAATGAACCAGTTCAAAAGGAAGTGTCCTGGGTTGCCACTATTGAACTGTCTTCCTCGTCCGTCCCAGGTGTCAAGCCATACCTGCCGCAGATTGCCGGTATCATCAGGCGCGCCGAGAGCGCTGCCCGGGCCGCCGATTGGCCAGGCTTTCTGCCGAAGACCAATCGTTCATTTGCTTGGAACTTCAATGAAGTATCAACCAGTCCAACCAATTGGTACACGCCCAGCTATCGCCTATCACGGTTATTCCTATGCGCTGGAGTTGGGCCATTGGGGGGGGGCCACCCGGCAATCTCATGGGAAGGTGGCGCCTGAACACACCTTCTGCGCGAGTGCGCCCGGAGCTTAAGGGCTTGGCTTCCAGGCTTCACCTTGGCGAATTCTGCAGTGCACAGGGGGATCTTCTGGGGATGTTTGAAAGAGGCACCCGGGAGAGCAACGAAGCAACCAGCGTCAACTGAAGCTGCTGACCTGCAAAGGCAATAGCCTCCATGAATTCACTTCTTTGGCGAGCAGTTGATACTGTGGATGGACAGAATCCTGCACCACGTTGGAACCATGGGAAGCCATTGTTTGTTGGTATTTATAGGGGAATCATCATTCCCGGTTTCTTGGGTGGTGCAGGATTTCCACAGTATCATTGGGAACTCGGGCAATGGTCGGTTTATCAAAGTGCTTCATTCATAGGTGCATGGCACAGTTCGCCGCCCACTTTTAGTGCGGGCACTCCATTTCCGGCATTCGGCTGTTGACATGTTTTGAGGGTTTGGCGGACAAGGTGCCCCTTTGTCGCGTGCAACTGTCTTTCTATGTCTTGATCAGACTTGTGTTGGTCTAAATCACACATGTGCGCCATGCAGATGGTCATCTACCGTTCACGAAAACCAGTCTAGCCACGGTGAGGATGCCGTCAGAGGGAACCACGCCCATTGCAAACATCAAGTGAGCTCCGGCTGAATCAAAATGACCTCAGCTGGATAAGACGACCTGTCAACCCTGTCGTTTCACCCCGGGGCTTTGTCCGATTTGACGCTCCCGCTGACAACGCGTGGCCCTGGGGACCTGAGGACAGCAAGCTGCTGACCTCATCGCGCGCATCGCGGTGGTCATGAAGCAGTGCGGTGAGGAGCAGATGATGGGGCCGGGCGCTCGAGCGCGCTTTTCGTAAGCCCGAAGTTGGAAGTCGGAAGTCGACGGCTGACTTGGTGATGTGTGAAAGAGTGGACCCCCCCTTTTTGGGATGATGACAGACAATTTCAAAGAAAACGCCGAGCATTTGGAGATCCTTCTTGATACATCCTCCTGAGGCATGTCCATGGGGCTTTTGCGAGAAACCGGAACAAGATGGGAAAACACCACCCTTGCATTGTTTTCTCAGCAAGGCATTCACTTCCCCCAGGTTTCCGACCGCAAAAAACCGGAAACAAAAGATTCGCCGAGCAAAAAAAGGCACTTGGGCCTCTTCCTCTACGAGTACCTCGGTGAGGAGTATCCCGAAGTCTTGGGCGATGGCCTCAGTTGGTCCGTCAGTGGCCATGCGGAAACCGGTGAGGTCACCCCCCGAAAGCGGGAGATGTGAGCGCCGAAAACCGAAGGTTGGAAAGTAAAAATGAAGTCGTTTTTTGTTTACCTCGGATTTGTGATAAGCTCACCCCAAGCCTGTTGAAGTTTCATGGGCCAACTGAACCTTGCGTTCTCGTTATCTCTTTGAGAGAAAGGTATGTAGCGTCACGCTTTAGGGTAGAAGCAGGAGTTGGCAGTGCGATAGCGACGAACACAATCGGGCCATTGCTGGGTGAGTGAAGGATAGTGAAGGCTGTCTTGTGGCAGGTTGCCTAAGTTACTTACTAAGTAGGCGTATGAGAGATGTTGGTGATTGTGGAGAGGTCCCTTTTCCGAAATCTCAGTATGGCACTGCCAGGCACAGCTCAAATGTCCTCTACATATTCGCGGTTTGGAGTTTGGAGTGACTTTTTCTAGCCTTTTCCCCTTGGTTTGAAGGGAAAAAAGAAAGAAAAAGCGCCGTTTTTCTGACACCCTCGGACCCATTCTCTCTGCTTCCCTTTTACTCTGAGGTTCGATCCTGGGAGCCTTGAAGGCCATTGTGAACGTCATCGGAATGACGAAGATGACACCCCCCATCAAGGCCCAGCCGGGCTGAGAGACAGATGGGGGTTGATCAAAAGGTCCGGAAAACACGTGGGATGACCGTTGGCACTCAAAAGATAACATGTCTCCCACTAAAACGGAAAGTCTTTTTGCCATGGACATGGGGGGGGCGGGCCGGGAATTTTGATCAACCCTTCTATGGCTCGCTATGGCCTCCAACCCTTTGCGATAGAAGGCCCATGGACCTCCGGTCAGGTAGGTGCCAAAAGACCGGTGTCTGCTCGGCAAGATGCCATGGCTGTGTGGCCTCGGGTATCTCGGCAAAGTTGCAGATGTTCTGGAATGGCAGAAGGTGAAAACGCGTTTTTTTTTTGCCCCCATTCTGGATCTTTTGAGGCAACGCAGCTTTGGAGTGAGTTGTTTCTGTCCGCAGGACCTGTTGCCGCGCTTGACACCCATCCTCAAGAACAGGCACGAGAAGGTGCAGGCCGGACTCTTGGGACTCGGCTTAGTTGGTTGCGACTAAGAACCGGTGCCCTAATAAATTTATGCATAGAGGGTATGGTTTTGAAAGATGCATTGCATATCCATCGGTCAAGCGGGTTGCAGCCCCTTTTTGGCAAGCTCGTAGCTTGCGAGGAGAACTGCATCGACCTGGTTGGCAGGTGCGCTGGGGATGTGGGCTGGTGCCCCATTCACCTGACGGCGATTTTCAGTCCTCGATTTCTCCGGCTTGGCAACTTTCTTTTTTTGTCCTCCACTTGTTTGATGCCGGTTTATGTTCTTACCTGCGTGGCAGTGCGAACCCGCTAGGTTGGTCGATATTTTGTTGTTCTCTAAACTCGGTGAATTAGAGGCACGTCTTGCAACGTACAACGTGCAAGTAAGCTAAAAGCAGTTTTTCGGGCAGGTTCTCCTGCATGGAGATGTACTCACTCAAATGTCACCCGCAGTATCTAAGGATGGATTCCACAATTTGATGTGATTTGATGAGCATTTATTGAAGGGGTTTTCTGAGCAGCTGAGCAGCTTGGAATTGAATGCCTGGTGGAATCCCTGGCCCTGTTCAATTCATGGAGGCTTCCCAAGTGCCCAGCAAAGGCCTCATGCCAGCCATATCTCTTGATATCTAGTAGCTGGCCCCCTGGCACCCGACTACTCGGCTTAACATGCCACCCACTCTCTGTGGTTTTGTTGGTTCAGTGCACTACAGGCACTGAACAAAGCTTGAGCAACAGATGGGGATTGGGTCAAAATGAGTCACCAGGATACGGACCCGCAGGTTTTCGCCCATATCTCCATCTTGGGGGGTTACCCAATTTTTGACCAGCCAACTGAATTTCATGTCCGAAGAGCAAGGCAAGCAAACATCCACTGTACGCTCAAACCCAGCCTTGAGGGTGGTTCACATTGACATGTCTGAAGAACATGCTGAGGTCAGCTCTGGGCCAGGGTTCGTTCCGGAAGGGTTCCAGTTCTGGCCGCCGGAAAGTTGGAAGCGCAGGCCCCAACTTGCCGGTCAGGGAATGAGACGTGGAGGGACCCATATAAACCATCCAACCCGTGGTTTCCATTTTTTTGCCGGAATCCCGGAAAGGTGCATTCCATGTCTCGTTCCATCTACCGATCGCAAGCAGGCAAGAGCCTCGGAATGGTGTCAGGATCGCGGACCGCGGAGCGGAGCTGGCGCCGCCCAGGGAGTGGAACCGAATTTGCTTCGACCTGCTGGAGCTTCTGAAGGTGCTCCACCGCCGGCTTGTTCGAGGGTTTGATATGGCAGTGGGTCAAAAATAGTACCCCACAATGGAACCCTGGTAAGTGGAAGCATGGACTAACACCTGCGGTCTCCTGGTGGTTGAATTTTGACCCCTAGCCATATGGTTTCATTTTGGGCCCTGGTGAGATTTTTCCAGCCGCACCCAGGTTGGCAAAGCAACTTGCAGCATTTGAATTTGAGTTCATTCCTGCCCACAGATGTAGGACAGGATGTCAAAATGAGACACTCGGTCACTAGTTTCCACTTGTCGGAGAGTAGGCCAATATTCCCGAGATGGAATTATTTGATAGCAATTTAGCAGCTGCAATTGTCATGCTGCTAACACAGAGCCCTGTAGGCTGGTTCTTGTCTCTGAGAGCCATATTTCCCGCTTATGTGTTTCAGTTTCCTTCTTGCTGAGTGGGTTTTGCAGCCGCTGCAGCGTGTCATGCGTCTTTGCTTTGACTCTTGCCATGTCTTCGTGCTTGAAAGAGGGGCATTTGTGATGGGATTGCAGACTTTGGCTGAAGTGGACAGCGCACAGATTTCGCGGTAGGTCATTTTCGCCAACTCGGGCCATGGAGCCGATTTCGCTGGCATTGTGTGCTGGTTTCCTGGGCATCCACCTGACGCTTCATGGCACACACCTGCCTTTGCCTTCGGCACCATCGAAGGAGCGCATGGAAGTGCAGGAAGCACTGGAGAATGTGCGGCGTGAACTTTGGGCGGTGTTTGCGGGCTTCTGCGTTCATGTGGAAGCTGCCGGCCTGATCTTCTTTGGGTACTTGATGTCCAGAGACCGGGAGACGGTCTGCGTGATCTGTTTCCTTGTCACGCTGGTGGATTACCCCTTCAAGTCGATGGTCTGTAAGGGGCTCACCATGTCTGCATCCCAGATCTCTGGAATGGCTTTGCTCATGAACATCTTGATCATCATCCCAATGGGGTTCGCAGCGCGGACCACATGTGATGAGTTGGGCTTTGACGGTTTTGTGATGGGGTGCCGCTTTGCTGTCGCCTTGCCAGCGGTGAACACTCGGCTGATTGCGCCGCCTCAAATTCTGGCCTCGGCCCTAGCCATCTCGCAGCGTTGTAACCCCTTTTTTGCTTTCAGAGAGGTATGTATTACAGCCGTGCTCATTGCTCTGTCCTGTTTTCTGGAGAGTTGCATCATGGCTCAGATTGAAGCTCAATTCGAGTCTGCAGCGGCTGAGTCTATGTTGTCTGGTTTCCGCAGCCTGTTGCGGGGCGTGTGTGACGGCGATGTCTTATTGGACAGCAAGATGGAAATTCAAGGCGAGCCTCAGTGCCTCAAGCACATGCTGATGATCAACAGCTCCTTGCATGGGAAATCCTTCGATCAGTTCCTCAATGAAGATGAGAAGCAGCGCTTTCACAAGCTGATCACATCTTCAGGCAAGGAAAACACCGAGTCAAGCATCCCTCCCTGCGTGCGAGCTTCCTTGCGCGGGGCCAATGATGTCAAGGTACGTGTTGATATGTTTCACGTCCAAGTCCCCCAGTACTGGGGGGCTCGCGACATGTATCACCTGGTTGCCTTGCGGGAAGACTCGGAGGCACAAGTGCCGGACGCAATTCCCACGGAGTTGCCCGACTTTTCCAAGAAGAAGGGACCTTTGTCCAGGTCGCAACGCTCGCTTCAGTCGCAATCCTCGGAGGGCAGCTGTCACGGGCTGCCGGAGCTGCAGGAGATGAGCCTGTTGCTAGACTCCTCGGTGGCGGTGTGGGACATTCTGCAGGTGCACCTGCGCTTCCGGAGATGTCCGGGCATCGCCTCCGAGATGCCCTGCATGAGGGCCTTGCTGAGGTCCGCGGAGTGGGAGAAGCTCAACGGCCGGCTCAAGGCATCTCAGCTCAATTGGTTCTAGCTGTGGCTCTTTGCTGGTTAGGCTTATATCACTTTAAAGGCCCAAAGACTTCAAGCGTTTTCGGAATAGACCTCACCTCAATTGGTGTCTTCTAGCTGTGGCTCTTGAAAGGCCCAGAGAATTCAAGCGTTTTCGGGTCAGCTCAGCTATGTCAGGAATACTCCGAGTCGACGACAGAGAAGCCGCAGCCTGCGGCGCTTGGCAAGTGGAACTTGAAATTGCCAGGCAAGAGGCACTTAGCAGGTGCAGTGACAATTTCCTTGGCCTCCTCCCCTGGCACTCCTGTCAAACTTTGGGCGCATGTGACGGAATTAATGCCAAGGCGGCCATCTTGAGCCTTGCACAATTTTTGTGCGCGAACGCGTAGCGTCCAACCAAGCTTGGCCAACTGCGAAGCGTTCCTGCGAATTGCAGAGCGCAATTTTCTAGCAGTGCAGCGCTGCTGCCAAGTGGCCCACAGTTAGAAAATAATATGCATATTTGGTTCCCCCCCCTCCCGAAAACCTACCCGCATTATTCAGTGTTTTGAGATAGACTTCCCAGAAATCTGCCTTCAGAATCTTGAATCTTGAGAGGCGTGACTCAAAGCCACGTTGAGGTAAACGGGATTCAAGATTCTTTTCCCAGCATCTTGAATCTTGAATCTTATCAACTTGCAGTAAGCGATTGGCAGCTCCAGTTCAAAAACACCGCTTTTCAGTACAAGAGTAGCACGCAATTTACACTGGCAGCTTTAACGCACAGCTGCGTGATCGTGATTTTACGCTGATCATGTTACAGGGAGAAGAAAACAAGCTAACCTTCAATTTGGGGAGATTAAACATCCCCATCTAACTTGCTATTTGAAATTGAAATATGTTGCTTATCTAGTCTGATTTTCTGGAATAGTCAATACCATTTGTTGAACATTAGATATGAGAAATAATACCCAATTATTATGCTGTTTCAAGTTCAAACCGATTTCAGCTTCGAGCAAAGGCATTTCCTCATGCATTCAAAGAACATTACTTGACATTGCAAGTTGAAATTAAGACCATCTACAATTTCAAAAGGGTAATTGTCCTTATCCAAGTCCATGTCCAGGTATTTTACAAAAAAATCTAAGTAAGCACAAATGAGCCAAGCAAATCGCGGGAAAGCGTTTCAATCATCATGGATCTGTTCCTTGGCAACCTGCCGTAAAATGCGGCATTTGTAGCATGTGTCAGATCATCGTTCCTCCCCAAAAGAAAGGTCAAGCTGCGCAATGCATGTCATGATTTGCCTCACTATTGAGGGTCAAGCTGGGCAGCTACTAGATCGAACATGACGAATGCACAAAGTTGCTGGAAGCACTTAAGGTTTTCTTGGGCTGAATCCAAGAGCACAGAACAAATAGTGGGAATCTTGATTTCAAGCCGCCAAAAGAAAGTCGAAGAAAGTCGCCGTGCGCAAGATGTCCGAGGCTCTGAGCTGCAATGGAAATGCTGCGCAAAGTTTCCACTAGACCTCCCCCCCCTCCCCCCCCAAAAAAAACAACAACGAGAAAACAACAACTGTTCAGCCATGGTGGGGGTAGGATTGGTTCTGTGGTTTTATGGTTTGTGTTTTTAGTTTATTCTTTATTATTTTCGGTGTTTTCCGTTGTTTTGCCGAGAACCTCCCCCTGATTCTTGCAAAGACCGACTTATTCCTTGCAGGGTAGAAAGGCGGGAATATAGAGCATTCACAGACATGGAGATGGATCTTTGGGTGGTGAGCATATATTTCTGTCTATCATACCTGCAAGCACGTTATATATTTCTCATTGATCACTCCATGCCTTCTGCCCGCAGGCGCACAAGAAGGCCATTCGAAGAGCTGCCGTGGGTGCGCCTAGCCGCGGCTGAGCCTGTCACATCAGGTTCTGAGGTCAGTGGCTTGATAACCAAAGCACAGAGGCCAGCAGCTTGCTGGCGAGTGTTCCAGGATCGTGGTCTGAAGCGTTTGCGCCTTTTGAAGGGTTGTTCTTCCTGTAAGGTAACTTGCGCCATGGCTGCAATCACTTCATGGAAGCACATGCTAAGATGTTGGATCTCTGCAACTCCGCTGTCAGCATAGGCATACTGGATTCCCATCATCAACCAGCCGCTTCTGCACAACACGAGGGGATGTGTTTCCGTTATTTTTTCCTACTCTCAGAATTTTGAAGTCAACTGGGCAACACAAGATGCTGGGTCCAGACACTTCGTTCATGTCGTCCAGTCGGAGAGACAGCATGTAAGGTCACCATTGAACAATTGCAAATGGGGTCTTTGCTCCATCGGGGTGTTGTGCAAGCAAGCAGGACAACTTAAACCACAAACGACAAAAAACAACAGCATGCTATATAACCAAATAAAACAACACATGACACATACCGCGAAACAACACACATCACAACAAGAAACAACAACAGACTAGCACAACTTGGCATAGGCACGCACGCGCTGCACCCTGATGATCCAATCCAACTGCAAAACATGACAAACTGGCGACCCAGCCTTTCTGGGACCTCCCTAGGCGATTTGTTTTCTCAAGTTCCACTGAAGCTACTTATCTCCTGCGAGGGCGGTGGTAAACTCTATCCAACATAGGTAGGGAGGTTGCAGTGGCATGCGGCAGCTCTATGTTTATTTGCCCAGTGTCCAAGTTTGCACCATTTCCCCAGTCTCTTTGGGCTGCTTGCTCTGAAAGACTTCAAGCCTATTTGGGAAGTGTCTAACAAGAGCTGGTCCGCTACTGGTAACACTGTGAATATTTGCCCTTGACATTTGGGCTGATCCATTTCATTTGCGAGGACGAGTTCTGCTCTTGACCAACACAGATGAGTGTGTCAATGGCAGCCGCCATGTGAGAGCATTTAGTGTTCTTCGGGCACTCTTCGGGCTGAGGATTGTATGACGCCAATCCAAGGAGGGTTGGGAGGCTCTAGGCTGGCAAGCTCGCATGGAGGGGGCAAAGAGTATCTTTTGAGAAACAGCTTGGCCAGCCCCATTTTGAGGCTTCCCATGTTTCGGTGCCGTTGCCTCCCCTTCGACTTGAGCTGTTGCATGTCAATTTTTGAGGGCTCTGAGATGATTGGGTTGGTATGAGAAAAGTCACTCCGGGAGTTTCCGAGCTTGAGGTCAACACCTTCGGTTACATCGCCAAGGCCATCGGGCCTCATGATGCGCGGCACCCGACAAAGTGAGGAGGTCGAATGGAGTCGACATTGGGCAATATCAACTGGGGATTAGTAAAGGGCCAGATCAACAAAGCGGGCACCTAGAACAGTATCTTGAGGTCCAGTTCAATTGTTTAGTACTGCTGGAGCTTCCTTTTGAAACTTGGATTTGAGTTTCCATTTGATTTTGTATTGGTGGACTTGAGTTTCCATTTGACGTATTGCTGGAGCTTCCTTTTGAGATTTTTTGAGGCATCAAGACTTTATTCTACAGGCCCCTGAAAGAAAGTCAGATTGGGGGCCCGAAGTACTGCCCTCTTTGTGGGTTTGATTGTGGGCATGGCATAGGGAGCACGTCCAAATCTAGCATCAGAGCCTGAAGCTTCGCCAGCATCACCTGGGTTCAACTAGCTAAGAGGCAATGGGCAACAAGACTCTAGTGTAGGGACCCTTGAAATAAAGTATTGGGCTCATGTTTGCTTTCTTTGGGGGGGTGAAGTACTACCCCCTTTGTGGGTTTGATTGTGGGCATCTTGTTGTAACATTAAGAAAACTTGTTTTTGGGGAAGCTGACCAGTTTGAGGTTTTGGGGACAGGCTCAAATCATGTTTTGATATACATTATATGTGTTTAGTTGTTCAAGCATGTTTGTTGTGTTGCCCGGGTGGGTTCTTGTCTTTATTCCAGGTGCTTTTATTTTGCAACAGCCCAGGTGTCCGCTTCTTTTGGATAGCTATCAAATTGAAGTCACCCAACAATCAGTTGAGGGAGTTTTGTTGGGCCGTCTCCGGACTTTCATTCGGCGTTTTTATTTGCGACTCACTCAGCGGAGTGTCATTTGGGATGCGTGGGGCCGAGTGCTGGTTTCGTTTCTCATGTGCCATGGGGTCGCTTTTGAGTAGCGAAACTCGCCCACTGGGGTTCCCTTTGGAATCGACCATCTTTCTAGGGGTAGCTTCCATTTCCATTCTTTCCAGCGATCCGGATCTTTCTAGAGAACCACCAAAAACCCTGGGGAAACAGCGATCGGTTTTTGAAAAGAACGATGGCTGAAAAGAATGGAAAAGGAATCAACCCCTAGAATTAAGAAAAGGCAGCCGGTTTTCCCGTGGCCGCTGGGGGTCTGAGGGGAAAGGGACAAGATCTTGCGGGCCACAGGCCAAACAAGCGGCCTGTCTCGAAATTGATGGGTTCCCTTTCGTTTCCCTTTCCAGGACTTGGAAAAGGGGTACCAAAAAAAAACACCGGACCCACGTTTGAGGTATATTTTCCTGGAGGTAGCACCTTGCGATTCGGATGTGCGGGAAAAAAACCGGCCGGACATGCAAGGGCTCCCTTCAGACGTTTTTTCTCGCACATCCCTCGGTAGGACTTCCAGGTCTGCTTGTTTTTGCGGGGAAGGTGATGAATTTCCCTTCCCAGTCACTGGGCTGGCCCCACTCCCTGGCAAACGGGATGTCTGTTTGCTTCGAGGGGAAAGGTGCGTCATGTTTTTGCTTTTTATTGAAACAAACACAAATTGCATCATTTTTTTGCTTTAAAAAAAGAAACGAACAACTCCGCCAAACCAGGGAGCACAAGTGGAATCCACTGCCGAATGCGCGCCTTCGCTCCTTCCGCGCTGAGGTGCTCAGCACCTTGCTGAACAACTTGAAGGTGCAGGAGCGTCAGCTCCGTATCTGCACCACGGTGCGCCGAGCGCCGAAGCCAATCGGTCGGGGAGGGAGGGAGGGGTTTGGACACCGAGGGATTGGCGGATGGGCTCGTTCCAGGCTGATTTTGCAGTCAGGCAGACTGCGGCTGAAGCTTTAAGTATTGCAAGACTCTAAGTATTGCAAGTAGGGCACCAAGAGTTTCCAAAAGTGTCCTGTATTCATTGTTTTACCTGCAAGATTGAGCAAATTATGGCTTGGTCGTTTGAGCAGGCAGTTCGTGTCTCTTGTGCTTGCCTCATGCGACCAAGATATGATTATGCGAGCCTGCTGCTAGCCATTCAGAGCTGGTGGGTAGTGAACCTTCCTGGTGAATCAACTGGGTCCGCATAAATCTGGTCACTAAAAGGGACACCTCCAATCCCCTCTTTTTAGCAATGGTCATGAGGCTTTTGCAAGAGCCCTTGTCCACTTCCATTTTTGTTGCAAAAGGGTTGTCACCAAGGGACACCCCCAATTCTAGGGCTACCTTCCCCATTCTTTCCAGGCATCCTTCTTTCTACAAAACCACCCAGCACCTTGGGGAAACAGCGATCGGTTTTTGAAAAGAACGATGGTTGAAAAGAATGGAAAAGGAATCAACCACTAGACCAACACATCAGCCACTTCTTGCTTCAGTTTGCCATCGTTTGCAGGTGGCCATCGCCATCACTGCCGAGACGTGTGGCCCGTTCACCGTGCTGCGCCGGCCTAAGCGACCGAAGAACAGCGGAATCCAATGCTGGTTGCGTTGGTCCAGTGACACGGGCGGAAGGGTTTCGTCTGAGGCCGGCGCTGATGAACGAGTACAGAGTGCCAGAACTGAACGTTCAGAAGCTCGGCAGCTTTTGGAGCAAGGTGGACTGGTGCAAATGACTTTGAGGTTGCGTGCATCGGCCAACAAATTTCGGGTAGCTTCCAAATCCCTGTCGGTTTTGGCAACGGAGCTTGCACCTGGGACTACAAGCGTGTAGCTTGGGATCTACAAACGCTGTCAACAGCTCCATAATAACACGAGAGTCACGGGTCCGACATCATTGATGCTTTGGTTGGTTTCGAAGCATGGTCAGATGCGGCCCGAGCCTATCAGAAGCTACAGGGATTCTACATGTATTTCCCAATCTGACGCTCAGAAACAGATACTTGGACAAATGGGAACAGCTTTCCATAACTGGGTTAGGGTATGCAGTGCAAGCTCGTTGACCTCCGCAGCTGGCTCGAAATTCGGAAGATCCTTTTCGTCTCCCAAGAAGTCGCAGAAGACTTCATGGACTCTCCACACTCCGAGTACAGTAAGATGGTCTTGGCGTTGAGCTTGGAGCTCCCCAACGCGGCCCTACTGGCCAAATTGAGGCAGAAGTGCCTCGGCCATTTTGTTTCAGCCTTTCTTTTCTGAAATGGATGCGGCCGAAACGCCTGAGGGACGGGGTCCATATGGATTGGGCTCTTCTGTGTGTGTGTGCGCACCCGCAAGTCCAACGGGTTCGGTTGTCATGGAGTCGGGCGAAACCATGCGGATCACTGATCAAAAGTACCTCGAGCTTGTCGACGGCACGCCTGATGAGGAAGCCTCTCGAGCAAAACTGTCTCAACATGAACGCGCCGAAACTCCGCTTTTGCGATTTTGGGATTCCGTGTTGGTTTCGATGCCTCCACATTCATGTAGACTCACGCGAGTGCGTATCGGCCAGGCCCGTGATCCCCATAAATGGGCTTACCAAGACCAGCAAAAAAGGTTAGCTGCCCTGTGACCGTTGTCTTTGAGCCCTTTTCGAAGGCTGAGACTCCGACCGTTGACTTGCAGCTTTGATTTGCGCCTTGAACTTGCACCTTTCTGACTTGTACTTCTGACTTTACCAACCCTGAGATCGCGACCGATGACCTTGAGGCATCCTCACGAATTTACCACCTTTTTGACCAGCCTCCTTTCTGACCACCACCTCACTGTCACTGGCCCTTGACCAACCCTGCGTATCAGCTGGTTCAAAGCCCTGCCACCTGCGCCTCCACACTTCGCGGCGTCGGCATCGCCGCCCCTGTCACCGAGATCTCAGCTGGCTGACATCCGACACGGCAACCGGAGCTATCGTCTGAGCAGATCTCCCAGTCCAGCCCACAGCAAGCTCCAAGCCCGGAAAGCGGAACGCGCGGCCGGTCAGCCGGTGTATCTTGAGATGAGGCAGGAACGGTCCCAAGGAGTCCTTGGACAAACTCACGCACAGCCACAGGGGAGCGCTGCTTCTGCAGCTCGTCACGGCGCAACCTGAGGTCATACTGGCTTGTAAGACAGCTTCGCAGCGGCAAGTGCTCGAATCTTGACTCTGCAGGTTACGAGTCTTTTTTTTCTTAATAGTGTGTTTGTTTTTCTCAATTGTGTCGGTCATGCCCGCAGGCATGCCTAGATGCTGCTCCAGGCTTCCAAATAACATTACATCATTCACGTAAATCCCGCAAGCGCAGATTTCGGCCATATTTTCAACCATATTTTGTCCTAAGTCCGCTTGTCCGAGCACTTCGGACGACAATGACTCGACTTTCTAAGGTGGCCGTAGATGCTGCCTTGCTTCCACCACCCACAACACGTAGGCAGAAAGTAAACAGTGTTAAACATGAGGGTCTGATTCAAGAACACGTTACAAGCTGTTGCCATATTATATAGGGGTTCCCAGCATATTAAAACTAGACTGACTTAAGTTTCACGAAACAGCTCCTTCACGCCTTGCCTTTTGCCCCCGCGAATGCGAGGGCAGAGCAGTCCTACTTTACCGTACATTCGCTTTTTTTGCCGGGTCCAAATCCTTCGGTGGACAGTCGCTGCCAGTTGCAGATGTGCTGCCCACCAAAATTGCGACTGACTCGTGGCCGCGGAGCACCGATTGCCCAAGCGTCGGGAATGGCAAGAACAGCGGTACTCGTCGAGGGTGGCAAAACGTGCAGCGAAGGACCATTCCGGCGGCTCTGGATCTGCCACGTGCTATGGTTGCGGCGGTCGCTGAGGATTCTTCAGCCTCCGACTCCGACAGCGACGCCGTCCACCACCGTGTGCAGCTCCCTACCTTGGCTACGATGACGCTGGGCCCGTTCTTCCTCCTCGCCCCATGCCAACTTGCCACGTGCTAACCGCTGGAACCTGGCAGGTCCCGAGATCATAAAGAACTTGTCCCATCCTTAAGGCAACGGATGCGCTTCGGGTGTGTGTGCGTGTGTGTGTGTGTGCGCGTGTGTGTGCGCCCCTTGTCCAAAGGGCTTGGTCGTCATGGAGTTGGGATCGCTGATTCAATAGTACCTCGAGATTGGCGATGGCACCCCTGATGAGGAAGCTTCTCTCGAGCAAAATTGTCTCAACATAAGCGTGCCAAAACTCCTCTTTTGCGATTTTGGGATTCCATGTCGGTTTTGGTTTTTGCTTCAAGAGGCCTCCGCATTCACGCAGGCTCATGCGAGTGTGTGTGTGTGTTGTGGCGGGTTCCAGATCAACCCTGAAGCATTGCCGTGTCTTTTGCGACAGTGGGCGTGGCAGTCTCCTCGTACCCACGCCAACGAGGCTATGTGTCCCCGATACAAATGTTTCTGAAGGTCCCCCTTGTTTTTGGCCGTCATGTGCGCTTCATGTTGGAATTGCTATTGTCTTCGAACCTAGAGAGAAGCCATTTGGATTGGATTCGACATGCGCTTGACTTGACTTCACTCGACGTGATGTCCATTGGAGTTTGTTTGGGCTGCCCCCTTGGGAGTTGAAAGTTCGCAGGTTTCAGGTGGGGAAACGATGTCCTTTCATCATTGCACCTCATGTCAAAAGTCCTGCCTGAGTGAGCGTCCGCGACTTCGGCTGGTTTTTTTCTCATTTTTTTCTGGAAAGCAGAGGGAAATCAAACCCTTTGCAGGAGTCCCACTGGATGGCGCTTTAGGGTTAAGGGTGTTTTTCTCTGGGTACTGGCGAGCCGGGGTAAAACGCTCACCAGGAGGTCCCTTTGAGGCCCGTTTTTGGGTGGTGCTTACAGAGAGCCAGCAAGAAGCAAACGCTGTTTTAAGGGTCCTGTTTTAAGCAACTGAGATGAACCAGAGGCCTGCTGCTTTGCGACTTAGGCGCTTTGCCCAAGTTCATCGTGAGGGACAATATGCTCACCGAAACCAGGAAGCTGTGGCGCGTGAGCAGGGCCGGAAGCAGGAAGACCAGGCCGAATCTTGAAGTTTGTCTCCCCAAGCTTCCTCAGTGAACGCAGGTTCGCCGAGGTCTGGCGGGATATAGACTGTATCATCTATTCAGGATGTAGGAGTGCGGTCAGAGTGGCAATGACATGGTACGAAACCTTTCTTTGCAACTCATGATTTATCATCATCACTCCTTACCGAACCACTTCGAGTGGTCGCCGAATGCCGGCGCATGGTTACGCCTTTGTAAAGTGCATGTTTCAGAGTGGTGATCCGGCTGAAATGCTACGCAGCTGCGTGGCGGGCGTTACATTGTCTATTTCCTACAATGGTTTTGTTGGCTCGCTGGATTGCCAAGCTATCGAAACGACCACTTCCAGGTGGAGCATATGATTTCAAGAAATTATTTCGCTTGGTAGGCGCGTTCGAGCACAGGAAGCCGGCCATAGCAAGTTTAGCACCTTCCGCTGAGATCGGCTCCCTTGCTGAGTGAACTGGCATGTTTTACTGCCAGCCACTCCAGTTTCACCTAGGGTGGCGTGGCCAAGTCCCGAAGGCAGCGTTCGCTGCATCCCAAGGTGCCTTGTCCCAACGGCCCAACTGATGCCTCGCTATGGAACTTCCAATTGTTTGCCAGAGAATTTGGAAATCACCAGGCCATCAGAGAGGTGGTTCCGACAAGCCCGCCTTGCTTCTAGGCAAAACACATTTTGCCCCATTTACGAGTCAACCGCGGAGCAGACCGTCAGCTCAGCTATGGTTGAGGGCCGTCACACAACACAGTTTCCACTCGTGAGCAACACTGTCTTGTTTAAAGTCAATTTTAATCTCACAGTTTGCGGGGTCCTACCAAATGAGGACTTGTTCGAGCATTCGAGACGAGACGTGTGAAACTTCTGAGTGCGATCTTGGTGCTTGCGCGCCTCGTTGAGAAACAGAACCACAAAGTCCCGGGAAAGGGGGGGAGGGGTTGAATGGCTCTCTGAGAGGACCCTGCAAGGTCTGACAACCCGGACAGATGATTGCTCGCGGGGAGTACCTGAGTACCTCGCCATGTTTCAATTTCCAGGTAGGTCACTCGCTCAATGCACAGATCGGAAAGACTCTCTAAAAAGGCGGTCACTTTTGGCGCCAGCTGGCCGGGCCCGAGGGGCACCTCCGAACTTCCAATGCGCGGGGAGCGCTTCTGTTTTCCGGTTAGGTGGAACATGAATGTGGGTCAAGACCGTGGTGCCTTTTTGGGGATGGTTACTCCACTGTTGTCTTTCTAGAAGGCTTTCTGGGTGTTCACCGGGGTACCGGGGTTTTGACCCATAGCCGAATCATCATAGCGGCAGAACCATCTTCTCTTGGTTGAGAACAGATCAAGTCCACCACCAACACGTCGAAATCACCCCAACCAGCATACCACCGCTATATTGTCAACTCTTTTAGTATTGCTCTTATTGAATTCATATTCAGGCAACTGTGAGGCCTGAGCAATGAGTGGAGCCTTGCAAAGTCTTTTCCGATGTGGCATTTCTTGTTGAATTGTACCCACTTGACCATTCACATGCAACCAGTTGCTTTTTGTCTGTCTCCAGCATATCCCTTGTGGGTTTTGGGAATCTTCCATCTTTGGGGGGGGACGGGGGGGGTTGCAGACTGCGAAAAAGTCACGTACCTTTTTAATTTTCAGTCAGGCAACGAGTTGGAGCGGCCAACAAGTTCAATCGGACCTGACCTTTTTGCCTGTGTGTTTGATTGCCTTTGTGGGACAATGGGGATGCTGTTCTTCCGTTCTTGATTTACTTGCTTTTGGGTGCGCTATTTCCTGTTTCGGTCCGAGGAAGCAAGCAGGCAGAGGCAGAGGCAGAGGCAGAGGCAGATGCAGGCAGGCGAGCAAGCTTTGAACCTTTGGTTTGTGTGACCCCAGCCGCTTGCAGCAACCCAATCGAACCCTTAAAACCTCCCAAAATCCACCAGTCATTGACCCTAACATCTTCAACCCAACCAAGTACAGCCCAAAGCCCTGCCCAAAGCCCTGCCCAAAGCCCTGCCCTTAGCCCAAAACCAACTGTCGCCCCTCACCAGCCTCAGCCAGCCTTTCAGAAACACGCCTCTAACCCACCCTAAACCCGCGCCCCGCCCAATCAATTTTAGCTATTCTGGGGACAGTTATGCCATTGCGGCAGCCAGCGAGCGCATTAGTTCGTGTCCCCAAATAGCGTGACCGAACCCAAGCACAAAGAGAAAATCTTTGGGTACAGCCATCGAAACTGGGGGCAAGGAGAAGGGTCATTCATGTGGGTGACAGGATCCAGACAAAACTGTAAACTTGGAGATCCAGACAGATGGGGGAACACGAAGCATTCAGATATATTAAGCACCACAAAGAAAGAGCGCAGGCTACAAGTTCAACAAGGAACATGTCACTAAGAAATGCCACGACAGATCCAAACAGGGTGGCCGCACAGCAAGCGGAAAACGCACACGGAAAACGCCTCCCAGAAAGAAGATTGTTGCAAACAGGTGTGGAAACAACCATTAGAAAACAGCCCAACACCAACAGACCTGTTTCGGACATGCACCCTCGAACAGTTGCTAATGCCGTTCTTGGCTACCAACATGACGTAAAGCGTGCAGACATGAAACCTCAAGAATCAGCCATGTACTTGTTGAGCCGATGGGCGTAGGTCAAAGTGAACAAGAACAACTGTTTGCCCTTGGCGGCGTGCTGCTGTGCCAGCCTTTTTTGGGGCATCCCTAGGTTTTTACGGTTTGTCAAGTTTGGAGCAAACCTCAAGCTGTCAACCCTTGGTTTCCTAGGGAGACCGCAGTCAAGCCTCAGGAACGGAGTGCTCAAGAGCCTGAGCTTCATGTTTGAGTACATCGGGGAGATGTCCAAGGACGGGAGATCTCCCCAAAAGCGTTTGCATGGCTTGCCGGAAGGGGTTTCTGAAAATGTGTGATTGGACACGGTTTTGGCTGGCAAGGGCTGGATTTACATCCACGGCCGGGTTTGCGGAAAGACGAAACAGCCCATGCCTGAGCAACCGCTGCTTTGGCTCCGGGTGAAAGATATCCTTGCTGCGTCAGACTATAGGTCTGTGAGGAATGGCCGCCAACCCTTTACCCACGGCACGTATCACCAGGGAAAGAATTTGAGAGTGTTGTTTGGGCGTTATCCCCGTCGGCTTTTTAGGTTCAAGGGTACGGTTTAGGGCGTTCATACGGTCAATGTGGTGCGGTGTCGGGTGTTACATCCCAACAATCAATAATTGATTTAGACCTAGGACTTGACCATTCACCACCTTCCACTGTGAGTTGATGGCTCCAAAGTGAAGCCAAGTCAGTTGTTTGGAGTCGAGCTGTTGGTGATTTGGTTTCACTTAGTTCATTACACAAGTGGGTATGCGTCAAAATAGGGCGACCCTTCCAAATGGCAGTGGTTTTCGCGTTGGTTTCCCTTTAAACCTCAGCTGAGCGCAGGACTACATCTATGCAGTGACACCCATCCTGGAAGATGCACTCATGGACAGAGATCTGGTTCACAGGTTGGAAGCTAAGACCCAAGCGGGGATTGGCATTGGGGAGATCCTTTCTCCCCACCATTTTGCACACGCATGGCATGGCATTCAAATGCATCTGGGATGCCAGCCATATTTCAAGACACGCAGTTCTCCTGCATGTGATACGATGTGGTAGCTTTTGCGAGAAAACTATGAGGAAGCCAACTGATTGCAAGAGTTTCTAGATGATGATTGCTGTTGTCCGATCATGCTTGGACTCTTGCTCTGAGTGTGCAAAGCGTTGAATGAAAGATGTTCTTCCAGCTGACCTCCAGAAATTCCTTTGTCCTCATAGGTGCTTGCGATTGCTGAAGGTGGTCTCCCGTCCAGAGCTGCCACCGCGCCAATCGCAAGATTCTCTTGTTCAACCCAAGTCGCAGTTGCAGCGATGTCCAACAGACTGGGGACTTCGGGGTTCAGCATGTCTTTGGAGGCAATGCCAATGCCGAGCAGGTTTGAGTAGGGGACACGGGGGCTGGGGGCTAAAGGACAGCACCAGATGGTAGGACGTGGGAGCACCCCAGCGTGCGCGCGCTGGCACCAAGACTTGAAAGCGGGCAGAAGCGCGCTGGTTTTGCAGACACTCTGAATTGAAGTTGTGGCAAGCCAGGCTTTCGTGAAGGTTTTTTAATTTTGGAAAAAGCTCTCCAAGCGGCGAAATGGTCCGGGGTGACCATGTCCCACTTGGCATGTCCGGTCCATTCCAGCGCAGGCACTGCCATGGGAAAGAGTGTCCTTGTAGGACAATCGGACAGGGACTGAAGTTTGCGAGCTTGTCTCCAATTGATCCCAGGAAGGATCGAATCGCGTTCCATGCTTTCCTGAATGGATCCTTGCCACAAGCCAGAAGCTGCCAGGTGCGAATCTCCGGGTCCAAGTGACTGGGAGCCCCTCTGAATTTGAGGGGATTAGAGCCGCAGCGAGCGAGGCAGACGGCTGCATGGACCTGCAAGCACTTGGCGCTTGGTGTACATGGCCTCGGCTGCGAGGCCGGAACTTTTCACTCCACAAGAGTTGATGACGGTCTCCCGTCACTGCGAATCGGATTTAATGACCTGGTGGATTCACTGACTCCGGGAATCGTCTAAACTTCAATTAGGAATTCAGTTTTCGTTTCATCCAGTGGTTCTGCAGCTTTCCCTTTCCCCTCCTTTCCCCTCCTTCCCCCTCCTTTCCCCTCCTTTCCCCTCCTTTCCCCTCCTTTCCCCTCCTTTCCCCTCCTTTCCCCTCCTTTCCCCTCCTTTCCCCTCCTTTCCCCTCCTTTCCCCTCCTTTCCCCTCCTGGGTTGACCGGTGAATGCTTCCGTGCACTCACAAATGTAGAGAACATCCCAAGCCGATTGGCACCATTTTGCACGCCAGCCATGTTTGAGCTGAAGCTTGTTTGCCTACTATGTGGTCAGCGTACGACTGTATCGTGTTTGGCATTGGGAGTAGCATAGGACACGGTGATCGCTCCCAACAAATATGGTTCTACCTGCAATTGGTCTCTTGTACAAGCCATGTCAAACAGCACTTCTCTTGTGTTTGATAACAGGACGGTGGCCGCTCATCCTTTTCTTGACTGGAACTAGATCCGGTTTCTGGCCCTACTGCACATCCAGTATGCTGCATGCGCCGCTGTCTCTTTCTTGGGTGTCTGCCTTGCAGCGTGCTATTTGTTTGGCTTCTATAGCATCCCCAAGCAAAAACGGACCCCAAAGAGCCAATAGAGTCTTCACCTGGTTGTGGGATGTTGTGGGAAATAAGGTTTCGGCCATTTTTCTGTGATACCAAGGGAATCTCCTTCAAAGTGGCAACGTCTGGACAAGCTCCTGCACCAGCTACATCCATCAATCCCAACCAGTCCGCGGATCGGAATTTGATCCACAGATTGCCTGGAGGCTTGGCCTTTCTTTTTCCCCCGATCCGATTGCAGGACGCCCTGCAGCACCTCATGAACTACGTGTGGCCCAATTGCTTTGAGAACTCCCCGCACTTGATCATGGCCCCAGCCTAAGACTTTCAGAGCCTATCCGTGAGGATCGGAGCCCTTTGGTTGGTGCCTCCTTAGGCACTCCTCAGGAGTCCTTTGTGGCCTTTGATGGGGATTTGTCGCTTCCGACATGCCCGCCGTTGGTCTCTTTTTGTCTTTCTCCCTCTCTCCCTTTGTGTTTCTGTTGAAGGTTGCCCTGTTTTGACACATACCCAAAAGGGGCATATCATGTATGAATTCTCAGATGTATACTAAGGGCCCATGGTTGGTCAACAAACATGGCACAGCGAGTCATGCGGTGTTTGAGCCTCTTGTGTTGTTTGGATATCCTTGCAGACGAGTGAATTTGGAAACCCATTGTTGGGCTAAGCAGTGGATATCAAGTGCCTTGGCACAGGGTGCCAGAGACATCATATATCCCTTCCAAAGTCGGTGATCTGTGCAACTCCCGTCAATGCCGGTATGCTCGTTCAGTGCACCCCGACAGCTTGGCATCATGAACCAGTTGGTTGCTTCCGTAGTGGATTTGCGCCAGACGCAGAAGCTGGCGGATGATGATGTGGGTTCAACTTGCATACTTTACCAACAGACGGGTCCCCAAAAACGTCGATTTTATCAACTTCAGAGGTCTAATGTAGATGTCCTCTCAAACTTGCTGGTGCTCAGTAAGGAATGTGGGAATGAACCCAGGGGTCCCCTTAAGGGAAGCCACCAGTTGGATGGTGTATAGGAGCACCAGCAAGTCAAAAGCTGCCTCCGCCGCGCACGGAACGTCCACTGAACTGACCGCCTTCCGAGGCGGTATTCGACGCCATCGATGGGTTCCGGGTGTCCTTGGGCCCCACGAAGGTGCTGCAGTACCTGCTGCAAGGCGAGAGGTCAAAGGGGCCGGGGACTTTCAGGTCTTGTTTTCTTCTTTTTTGTGGTGTCTCCTTCTTCTTTTTTTTTGAAACAGAAAACTACCCTTTTACGGTTGGTTTAAATGGAAACCAAAAGGATGACCGCCATGGGGTATGTGTTTGCCAAGTGAGCAAGTTCCATGTTTTTTATGCTTACTGGTTTTTCTGTTGATTAGCTTGGAGAGGACATAGGGGGAGCACGTAATTTTCCCACAAAAACCAGGGGCCACAAAATTGTTCCCCTGTCCTCTTGGGCAAACAAATTCTATTTTCGTCTGGGGGTGCATTCGGTCTGATAGAACCACCCGAATGCAAGTGTTTATTGGGAATGCTATCCATTTTCTCAAACGAGTCCCTTGCTTGAAACCCTTGCAATGCTTGCACCCTAAAGCAGTCATGAATATGGGTGCGTGTGTTTTTGAAGGTACCCGGCTTGGGGTAGATTTAAAGGGACGCCAAAAGGAACAACCGGATTTTGGGTCCCCTTTGGACAAAAGAAGGCCCAGCGGCCTGTGGCTCTGTTCTCGGTAGCCACCCGGATGAAAGCCTCGTGGCCCCCCCGATGGTCGGGAGGCCAAAGATTCCTCAGATCCTGTGGGTTTTTGTGGGAGCCTGAAATAAGTGCTCCTTTTGGAACGGCGGGGGGCGAGCCTGTGCCAAGAGGAACACATGAACATGGTTTATACCAACAGCGCGGAAATCGGCAGAGAAGCTGATTGAGGGACAACTCTGTGACACAAGAAAGGCGAAGATTCGTGGGGGCCATGGGTCTCCCACAGGGACCGAAAGTGACACCGGTCAGGCCTGTGGCACCCCGCGCGCCGTGTGCGCGCTGGAGCCTCAGACATGGAGCGGGGAAAGCCTCGCAGTCGAAGGAATGGGAGCCCACTACGCGGCACCTCCCATAAAAGTGTCCCACCCAAAAGAGGGTTACAAATGAAACGGCAGTGCGGGTTTCTTGCCAGGTCGACGGCTTTGGGCAGGATCAATAGAAGTCAAGCAAGTGCACCTTGGTTGGAATCAATGAGTTCCGAGCCACGATGGGCAAGCTAGCGACAGCCTTCACGCATTGAAACTAGCGACAGCCTTGAGCCATATTGCCCTGTGGCTCCTGAAACTGCAGTCGGTCTCAATGTTGCCGCATGCACCTCACATGGAAGCCATTGCACACCTGTCACCGCAAACAATACGATGCCAAAGAAGAAACATGAACATCACAATGATCACACAACATGCCCAAGACCTTGTTGGACAGGATCTGGTCTGAGAAACTGATGTGGGTGAATGTACCATTGCGATGCCAGCAAATTGTCAGTGCACAATGGCCAACACAACTAGATAACTTCAGTATTCCCTTGCCTCCGTTGAAGTGGCACGCGTTGGTATTGCTGTCTCCCTTTTCAGTTGGATGCCAACGCTTTGCTGTTTAGTCCAAGCCGGTTTGCTGAGGCCGTGTATTGGCGCTTGTACAACAACCTCTACATAGGATCTCAGGTACGGGCGAGATTTGTGCATTGCGGGTGTTTGGGAAGGCATGGCTGCACACGGAATTGGAATCACATGACTTCGCGTGCTTCCTAGTCTACACGCAGTTCCTGAACTCAGTTCTTGATCCAGTCGAATTCGCGTATGGGCGCACCCTTGCATTTGTGTACATGTATTTCTTGCGTGGACATCGTGCCCCACGAATTGGGAAGATCCCAGGTTTGTTTTCCAGTTTACAGTCAGGCAAACAAATAGGATTGAAGGGGTTGAGGTCAAGGCCTTAGTATATATACCTTTGTGTGCGACGTAGGCTGGCAGGTTAGTCGGTAGGAAAGTAGGCAAGGGCAGGCAGGCAGGCAGGCAGGCCGAGTGTGGCCGTGTGTGTGTGTGTGCCTTTTTGTGGGTGTGTGCGTGTGTTTGCGTGTATAGGTGTGTGGGTGTGTAGACCTTCTCGGATGCTTCGCGCCAGTGCCAAGCCTGACGCCACCTCTTTGCAAAGAGATTCTGACAATGTCTGAAACTTCGCCGTTGGCTTTGCAATACGTCAAAACAGGGAGGGGGGCTTGTTTTGCGATGTAGCCATGTGGTGCCCGTCAGGATGCCCTCATTCCCTCCTACCCGAAGTTGGAAGATGATGCAGAGCACTGCTATCGCAGAACTGAGCTTGAGCTTCTCCTCTGAGACGGATGCGTTTGGGGCGGTTGCTAGGGATCGCCTCACCATGCGATGTGAGGGAGCGAAGTGAAGAAAGTGATCTTGCGCAGGCACACAATGACAAAGCAAGCAAAGGGATACCAGGTGCAGTCTGAGATTCGAGTGGCTAAGCATGAGTCTAGAATCTGGAACAAGACTGCCTTGCTTTAGGAGCAATGCGAAGAGATCACCGCGGTATCAACATGCCGTGCCAATGCCCGAGGGCGTTCGGCTGTTTCAGTTGACGTCAAGGTGCAATCTGGCAGGTAGCCATGCGGGAGAATGTATGGCAACTTGTTGTGTGCCAGCTCTGAATGAGCCATGGAGTCGGGCGGCCGAATTCCAGGCGTTCAAAAGTTGCGATAAAATTTAGTGCGCCCGTTGCCAGGCAGGACTCATGGCTGGAACTGCCTAGATGGATAAAGCCCTGCACCACTTGGGATGGATGATAATCTATGAAAACTGGGATAAACCTACCAGCTGGTGCACAGTTTTATCCTTCCACAGCACGACTTGTCTTGGCAGCCTTTGTCTTTGCAAGATATGTTGATGAGATGTTGCCCGTGTGGCGCCGCTTGGCGTGGCAGGATTCTGCATTGTTGGGCATCTTTGTTGGATGTCCGGGGAATATTGTGGCAACAGTTGCCTAAATCAACCCTAGTGTTTGATCCATGGCGTGTGAGCTACTCACGTTGGCGGCCTTGAGCATGTTTTTGGCAGAAATTAATTTTGCAAAGCCAAAGCCTCCGTTGACCAAGCGCTCGCGGCAAGTGTGGTCTTTGTCACATTTGAATGCCTACAACTTGCACGCGTGTTGTCTGCATATGCCCCAAACACGTGCTGTGTGAGCTGTGGTGTTTGGCTAAGATGAAGTGCAAAAGTTGCTGCCGCAGCCGTTTACCATCTGAAGACATGGATACCAGTTGTTTCGCAAAGCATGTACCCTACTGCTCACGCTCCAATGACCTCGACCAGTGTTTCAACAACCCCATTGCACGACCACGATGTGCAATCAATCAACCATGTCAAGGTGAAGGACTCTGGCGCGGCAGTAGTTGAACCATTTTGTACCGCCCTGTCATGCGACCAAGTAGTCATGTAGTTGGAGTGCGAGCCACAGGCGCAGCGAAACAGACTATATTATATACATGTTGAAGCCAAGTCTCCCCAAGTGATTCTCCCAGCAAGCCTGAAGAACATGCAAGCTCGAGAATTCATCCGCACACATCATGCTTATGCCGGATGGGAGGATGCGCATGCCTTTGCTTTGACCGCCTGGGCTCTTAATCGAGAGGACCTTGTGGTTTCAGCCCTCGCCGTGCTCAATGCCTACAAAGTGATTTGAAGAGGACCCTGAATGTCCTTCTCCCCAGGAAAGCCGTTGGCCGATCTATCCTTTTACTTCGATCACGCATTTTTTGAAATCGGAGGGAAGGTTCGTAAGCTCGGATCTTGAGAGTTTTGACTGCATGACGTGCTGGAGCTCAACCTCGTTTTACTGTTGGACTTAGCCAACCGCTGGGTTGCATTGCGAGTCCATCAGGATGAAGCTTGTTTTGCAGATCTAAGTCTTGTATAGCCGCAGAGGCATTCGAGCAGAGAAACCCTGGATGTACCGTTTCTACTTGGTTCCTTGGGGAACCAGACTGATTAGTTTGGTGCTAGGAAGGAATGATGAACAGCAGGCAAGGATGAACACAAGTAAGAAAAGCAGATGAATACCGTTTCTGGCCCTGGAGGATTCCATGCAAGCCTTATCTCAACTTTGCATTGAGATGGCGCACCTTTCGCGAAATCCAGAAGCCAGGGTTTGCCGAGTCAAACTAAGCTCTTCGGCGAGAACGTGAGATTAGAGCAAGAAAAGGGCCCAAATAGTTTACAGCCGCGAAATGCAGGCAAATGTTTGAAAGCTGCAACTGACCCGCCAGAGGAGTTAGCCAGCAAAAGCAACTGAAGTTTTGCTGGACCCCTTTTCTTTGGCCTAGGTCCATGTGTGGCTCCACGCGTCAGCTGTCGGCAGCCAAGTGACTGTGCCTTGATGAGCCTTGATGTGCCCACAGTACAGTTTGTGCGCACACAGACAGCTAAAATAACTGTGCGCACTGCATGTGCAATCACACAGCCCTGCTCTGCTTTTCTGATATCCGATTGTTATTGCATGGCTCAGATGACAGTGTTGATACCATTTGCGGCGTGTCCGCGGAACAGCATGTCACGCTCTTCCAACCATGGGTCGCTGTGTGAACAAAAAAGCACAGGTGACTGCTCAGAGCACGCACGCTTCCGATTAACATGAATCCTGACAAGGGGGTCGCTTTTGAACGGAAAATGGTCTTCCAGGACTCCCCTGTCAGGTTCCATATGAATTGTTGGGACTCGGGTTGGTATGTTCAGCTTTGCTTTGCCTGCCGTGCCCAGGCCATGGCGAAGGAGCAATGGGCGTTGCCGCAACCTGGGAACCAACTTGCAGTCACTTTTTGGGCTTCTGATATCCTCCAAAACACAGACAAGAGGTCCAAATTGAAGCAAAACACACACAAAAGAGGTCCAAAAATAGTAGAACTCTCCTGCAATGCTCTACTGAGTACTGGGGGTCCCATTGGAGTCTCATTCGGGTCCCATTTGGGTCTCATTTGCAAAACAATGCACTGTTTCTTGGAGTCGCTTCGTTTGTGGATGTGCGGATCGGCCCAGGGAAAGGAAAACGGAAGGCTCCAAGGAGGATGAGGTCACCGTACGTGTGCGCCAGACGAGCCTTGGGTGAAGTGTTGGACGCATCGTCGCATGTCGTCGCCGGTTTGGTGTTGAGGACATGTCTGCGGTGTTGGCAATGTTGTGAAGTGTATACACAGCCTGCTCCGGGCTCATGTAGCGTGCTGCACAGCGAAGTTCTGAAGAAACCAATTTGGTTTTCTCCCTGACCCCGCGCAAGATTTCTGGACCTCGATGGCAGAACCTCTCTTGACAATCTGGACTGAGCCCTGAGCAACGGCTGGATGGAACTCAAGGCTGCGGAGCGTTTGCGGCGGAACCTATCAGAACCTTGGGATTCGCAGGAAGCGCAGCTTCGGCTTTCCAGCCATTGCGAGGAAAAGACTGTTGCAACTGGGTTTTTGCTTGGGCTTTGTGTTCGTTTAGTATTCGGGTGGAACCCGTGTCGTGCTTGCCGCGGAGGCTTCGTCCAAGCAACCCTGGTGGGGGGCAGGATCGTGTAGGCATTCAGCATAAGCCATTCCAATAGATCCCGCGTAGGCATGTTCGTGCACAGCTTGCGAAACGGAGTGTGTAGACTCTTGCCGGCGCATATGCAGCCTTCCATGTGTATGTCAACACCGGCGGAGGCATCCATGCAGGGCATGCTTCCAGGGTATGATTTCTTCAAGTGTAGGCATGGCCCCATTCAGGGAACATATTCCGGGCTCTTCGCATGGCATGATCATAGGGATCAGGAGCCGAGTTTTGCAGCCAGTGCCGTTCTCCAGTTGACTTTTTCTGTCCTTTGTGTGTGTGTTTTGCTTGTCCCAGTGGAAATGAGCATGTGCAAGGCGAGCTTGCACCTGACTTGCTTGGGCTCATGCGACGCTGCTGCGCCTCACGTGGATCCCATGGTCTGTCGCGACTAAGGATCCAAAAGGCCGGCGCCGATGTGCAACCCTCAGGTGGTTTTTCTCTCCGATCGGCCAACCTGTGGATGCTTCATTCGGGTGCTTGTCTATCACCCCAAAGACTTTTTGGCTTCGCGGTCCTCTGCCACATGCACCACCCACCATGTTGAAGGATCCAATAAATAGTGGAAAGGCACATCTCTGGCGTGCAGTCTACCTGTACCATGGAGCACTTGTGTTGAGGTCATCGCAGGAGGTACACTAATTGTCATTCGCATGGAAGCTTCACTCAAGTTTCACGTCGTATTTGCTTCGCGGCCGCTTTGGCTCTTCGGCTCTGGCAAACGCAGCTTGGAGGGGCGCTGCCACAGCGCGCCTCCCGTCGCAGTGCGCAACTCAGGGCAAGGGATGCTGAGAAGTCTGCAAGCTTCTTGTCCCGTACCCTTGCATATTTGCTTTCCGCAGTCGTGAGGTTCGGATTTTGTGTTTGAATCCTCCAGGCCATGGGTTGGCGTCGGGCTTTTGGCCTAAGCCGCCGATTGCGCATGCACCCTTCAGTTTGTTCCTGGGTACACAAAGAGCCAACTGTGAAGTTGGCGCGGCACTGTGCGACTCATCCAGTGTTATGGAGCCACCACCAACTCACGGCGCGTGTGCCTTTTGTTGCTGCCATTGGTATACTTTTCAGACTCAAAGCTATCATCGTACAAAAGAACGGTGACAAACAGAGCCACTGTAGGTGATCATCTTCTGATGGTGACAGAATCCGTTCTGATAGGTGACAAAAAGAACAGTGGACCCGAACGGATTCTGTAACTCCCATCAGAAAGACCTGCCCAGGTGGAATGAAGTTCCGCAGCTTGCTGCTGACGTTGCTTGGTGCTGACTGTTGAATATATGAGCAGCGAAGAAGTGGATGTGCTTGAACGTGGGCTGCCTGCATTTTGATTTTTATATATTTTTCTTTTTTCACAGGAACACACAAGACATAACTAGCCACTTGTTACTTTCCCTGATAACATATATATATATATAGTACAATACATGTATATTGTTAAGCTTGGAGCAACTGTATACCTATTTACCTGATGTGATGAACCTGTGTGTGATTTGAAGCGCAGTTGTTTTCCTCTGGGCAATGATGTACTGTCTACTGTAGCTGTACTAAGGCAGGTCTGTACATAGGCTCAAGGCCTTTGGATGTATGGGCAGCGGATGTAGCTCAACTGTACTGCTAGAGAAAGCATGTAGTATTTAACACGCCTCCTCAGGATAATGTCGTATACATTCTCCTGAAATGTTGAAAATGGATGTTGCCACTGTACAAAAGATGTGTTCCAAGCTGTGCAACTTCCTTGTGGGTCGTGGTGTCAAAAGCAGGTGTAAAGCAGCTGCTGTTTCAAGCAAATGTTGTATCCAGCTGTCCGACTGTGCCACTCATGTGCACCGCCAACAATCGCACTTGTGTGAACCATGATGTTCACGCATTTTTTGGCCTCTTTCCAGACACTGCTGTAACCTCGTCCATGTTGGTTGCTGCTGCGATGAGCTCCTCGCACGACTTGTTCACCTGGCTGATGTACTTGAGGATCTGTAGACCCGAGTACTCAATCACATGTTGCAGCCTGTAGGTGGCTCAAGCTGACCATGGCGTTGTAATCCCAAGCGAAACCGTTGGTCCATGAAGATGTCGAGGACATTGTGTTGGCAAATCTTGTGCTCTGAAGAGGTAGGCCATTTATGAGAGCATCAAATGGACTGGTGTTGTAGATCATGTACTCGCAAAATGGCCTCCTCATGTTGGCCTGCAGTCCAGTGTAATCGCCATTCAAACTGTTGTATTCCTCTGCAGTAAAAGCGATGTACAAAGCACCGTTTGTACCTGTGGTCTTCTCGATGTGCCACTCCATGATGTTGTGCGCCTCCTTGCCGTTGACGCAATTGATGTTGTGAAATCCCACAGATGTCAGCGGGTATACCAAGATAATATTTAAGGAACACCATGGCAATACCTAAAGGTATTCCCCTAGTATTTCTACCCTTTTTCTAGGGGAAACTGCAAGGGAATACTGGGGTAGTGAGGAAATACTGGGGGTATACCAAGAGACTACTAAATTAACTGAATATTAGGGCAATAATAGGGGAATACTAGGGCAATCATAGGGCAATACTAAGGAAGTACTCAGGGAATACTAGGGCAATATTCAAGGTGAACACTAGGATAACACTAGGGAATTCTGAGGGAATACTCGGGCTATACCAAGATAATATTTAAGGAATGCTAGAGCAATACTGAAGGTATTCCCCTAGTATGCCCCTTCACTAGGAAATACTCGGGCATACCAAGAGAATACTAAAGGAATACTAGGGCAATACTAAGGAACTACTCAAGGAAGACTAGGGGAATACTAGAGGAGCATACTAGGAGACTGCTACGAGAATGCTCAGGGAATACGATGGGTATACTCTCAAGCTGAATTTGTCTGACCTGTCAGGTTTCCTGGCTAGGGCGCTAGGCCAATACTAGGGAAATACTCAGAAAATACGCGGGGAGTAATAAAGGTGAATACTAGGGGAAAATTGAAAGAAACACTGAAACAAATTGAAAAACACGGAAAAAACCGGAGAAAAAACATTGAAACAGCTGAAAAAACGAAAAACAACTGAAAAAAACTGAAAAACTGAACACCAAGGATTTCAGGGGGACATGCCTGGGGGGGCCCCATGTTTTCCTGAATCCTTGGGTTTTTAGTTTTTTTCAGTTTTACTCGGTATTTTGCCAGTTTTTTCAGTTTCCAGAGCGCGTCCTTGAAGAGATGCCCTGACGCAATCATAGTGCTTAGTTGCTCAAACAATACTAATATAGGTGAATACTGGGGAGAAAACTGCGAAAACTGAACAAAAACTGAAAAATACTGAACACCAAGGATTCAGGAAAACATGCCCGGGCCGCCATGACCTTGGTTTTTCAGTTTTTTTTTCAGTTGTTTTTTTCAGTTTCTTCAGTTTCCAAAGCGCTTCCTTGAAAAGATACCGAGCCTGAAAAATGTGTATTCTGGCAGATGCAGGTTTCGGTGAGAAAGTACTGTTAATACCAGTGTTTTCTCACACAACCTCTTGTTTTTTTTTTTTTTTGGGGGGGGGGTGCCATATATATATATATATATACATATGTATTTAGACATAAGACAGACTCATGCACTTGCCTAGACCATGATTTGCGTGTTTTTGGCTAGCTGGGGGCGCACAGTGCAGCAAGACAGAAATGCCGGCAGGCCAGCATTCTATTTTCCCGCAGTTGATTTCGAGTGGACTACAAAAGGCACCCGCTTGAGGCATTGCAGTTGCCTGACTGGTGAAGCGTCAGGGTCAGGTCGGCGTGCTATTCCCATCTTTAAGTGTAGCACCTGTCCGTGTCAGGCCCCCGTCCAGGACTTGGTGCCAGGTGTTCTGGTTTTGTTCACGAGGTCCATAGCTTGGTTCGCCACAGGTTCTTATCGGGTTTCCCTACAACCGACTTATCATGACCCCAAACGTGGCCCCTATGTTTCGGAGCAGGGATAGGGGGTTGGGTGTGGGGGGTGGCAGAGAGCTGATTTCTCACGGCCTTTGCGGGACCTGCCTGGAATAATTAGGACTGAGTTTTGGGGGTTAATTTCGAAGATTTTCACACAGTTGACACAGATGACACTTCCATAGCAAAGCCCACTCGAGGCAGCCTTATGAGGAATTTGAAGGTGAAACATGGCAACGTCAAGCCTCGCTATGGGCAAGAAGATTGTTCCGTTCGGAAGGAACATGTTGACCAGGTGTCTGAAGCTCATTGAACTCCTTCAAGCGGATTGATTACGGCTGTAGGGGCAGTCGCTCTTGCAACAGTTGAACAAGATCTCATACAAGTGGTTTGGAAGACGCTGATGCTGTGATGCGGTCGGGCACAGCTCAATCCAAGGCTTGGCTGCGTGGCTCGCGCAGAGGTGCTCGACATGTCTTTGGAGGGCATAGGGCAGTGTGCAACGCATGCGCATGTGTCTGTGTGTGTGATTTTTGTTTCTGTGTGTGTGTGAGAGTATGCATAGCAAATATCTACCTCTTCAGACTCCCTTCTATGGAAATGCGCCAATCCCAAAATGTCAATCTGCCAGAAAGGTCTTTCGAGTTCCCATCGACAAAGCTTGGACCTCTCTGGTGCTTCCATGCTGGCCTGCGGACTGGCAAGTGGCAACTGTTGACGTCGGGCACGCATCCACATGCACATGTCTTCGTGAAGCGCGTGTGAAGGTACGTTTGCTGCCAGTTAATCTTTTGCAAACACATCATGGGACAAAGATCACGCTGCCGGGAGTGGCTTTGCAAACAAATATCTAGCATCTCCGAAGGAAAGACGTAATGAAGCGGCTACTGCCGAGCCCGCCCTGACCGAAAATGTCGGCTCAGCCGTGCACAGGCCCCAACCTTTTCTCATGCTTATGCGCACATAGCAGGCTTCTCACCAGGTGCGTGTAGGTTGTGCTTTCACCCGCCCACTGTCTCTCACCAAGTTTGTGACTTGAGAATGTACTGGGACTTCACAAACGTGTGCGACCGCGAGCAGAGCGCGAGGCTCCAGACTGTCCAGGGAGTCCGCAAAAACGTTGCCAGGTCGCCGAGCCGGAGAGCCGCTTTGGCCTGGCGGCCGGGCTGCAAGACGAGCGGGTCAACCGGAGAAGCGGCCGGCACGTGGAGATCCAATTGGGTCGTGGTTTGTCTTCTTTGTTTTGCTGTTTTTGCTCGGGAGCGGGGGTTGGGTTGGGCGTTTTCAAGGACGAGATTGTTTTCTGCACAGATTATGAAGATGCTTTGCATGTTTGTTGTTTTGGAGGGGGGGTCTCAGATATATGTGCCAAATGCTGAGTAAATATCCGGACAAATTAAATGGGCCTCGCAGCAGGATTTGAGGGTTCATGTCTTGAGTTGGAGGGCCGGGGGGTTATTTTGTCAGTTTGGTGGATTGCTATTGTTTGCCCAGATCCCCCCCTGTGTATCCGGCGAGAGGGGTTCGGCAATGGGGACATTCAGGGCTCAACATTACATGGGTTTAGCCTGCGGGGCCATCGCTTGAAAGAAACCCGGCTATCAATGGTTCATGCCGCATGCACAGGTTGCAACAAAGACGATACACTTGCAGTCCATCTACATGTCCAGCAGCCAACTGAATGGAAGTACCATGGTTGTGGATGCCTTAAGTAGAGGAGGTTAGTTAACTCGATGCCGAGATGGAGTTGTCCCAGCCAGAGCGGACTAGCAAACCGGTAGAAATGCAAAAGGTCTTGGGGTTGTCCTCGGCGGTTGAATGGATTGTGCTTTCAGCTAAGGTAATCAGTACCCTGGAGGCCGGAGCGGGGGAGGGAGTTCATGAGGGTCAGGTGGGCGTGTGATTCCATCCGAAAGGAAGTTTGTGGAAGCCGCTCATTGGATATGTTGTAGCTCTGAGGGTATAATATTCAATCAGAGTGCCGGGTCGAAAACCATGCGCAAGGACCACAAACAGTGTTCTAAATGCGACTTGGCACCGCACGCACGTCTTCATTTGCCCTAGCTTTCGGTGGATTTGTTCAAAACAGGGAGCACCTCAATGAGTGGTGTTCCGTTGGTTTCCCTTGACAGCGCAAAAGTGAAAAGAACAGCACACACACACACACACACACACACTTCAGGCTTTAGCTAAAATTGAAACCGGCCAGCGGAGGCGCCTTGCCGTAGCTGCAAGAACGACGTTCTGCGTTGCGAGATGCAAACGCCTTTCGGGCGAAATGGCCACGGGGGTCTGACAGAATGCATGGCTTTGAATTTCAATGAAGACTACCCTCAGGCTTGGTTGGACGTAAGGACCGTGTGAATGATGGCCATCAATGCCCGCAGCATGGAATAGTGTCGCAATGGCCGCAAGCTCGGGCGCCAGGATATCGTCAAAAACGTTGACAACCAGAGCGCGCGGGAGAAGACGGCATTCGACAAGTTCCAGGCCTATCTCGGCCATTCAATCAAGAGCGTGCTGCTGCAATGTTCCCTCTCACAATCAACAAGGACCCAGAACAAACATCTGAATTTCTCAGAAGAGTCTCCTTTCGGGGGGGGGGTATCCCTTGCGGGATGTTCCAGTTGCAAAGCATCCCCCAGGAGCAGAGAGACGTAGATTTCCTGGTCAGGAAATCCACCTGCACTTTCGTGAATCTCGAAAAGACCACATTCCAGGGTCCGATTTGGCCCAGAAGCATGCGCCTTTTAGCCAAATTCTCAGTCGAAGGTCAAATCGGGTTCCGATTTCCCGCAGGAAATTTGAGTCTTGCGCAGGCTTGGTGCACCGAGGAGAGCCTTAGCCAGAAGGTGTTGGAGGGTTCGGGTCGGGGAAACCCTTCTGACGGCATGCCATTGAGTCTGACGAAAGCTACGGGAAATCCACAGCCTGGTTGATTACCTAGGCACATTGGCACTCGGATTGGGACAAGGCTTTGATGCAATGCGCATGCTGTACTTGCATCCACAGTTGTGTTCTTGGTGGCGTAAGTACGTTGCCTCGGAAGGCTGCCTTGGGAACTTTCCTTTTGCAGCCGCTCCCGACCTCGTAGCTGGAGAAGTTTTCCGAACAACATAGCATTCGCAGCCGGGTATGTCAGGTGTTTGTATCATTTTCTGAACATAATTACTGGCACGAATTGGAAGAAGCGTAGACAGATTCACTGTGCGAGGGCCCTCAGCCTTCAATTTGACTCCGGATGCGTTTGGCAAGAGGGGGACAGAACCAGAGAAGCATGATGGCTTATGTCGATTCTCCCCCGGCGAGCGTTGTGGGGCCAATTCTTTATGAAGGCAGTTGCCAGAAAGGCTTGGCGTCTTGAGCCAAAGGAGGAGCTTGGGTCATTCTTAGATTCTTGTCACAAACGTACAAACGTTACCCTCTGGTCCGCAATCTTGGAACCCCACAGGAAAAAAAAGCTTGTGGTAGTTCTAAGATTGTGGAAGGGAGTGTAGTGAACTCCCGAACGCCCGAAATTTGGGAGCCCAACGTATCTCTCAGCGGTGCCGAGGATCACTGGTCTCAGCACCGGCGCCGAGAAGGCCAAGGCGAACTCCGAGAAGGCCGCGGGAGGAATTTGCCGTGAAGGGCCGTCACACGGCCTTTGGTGTCCCTTGAGCCCCGGGAACAGCTTGGTTTCCAGAGCAGAAGTGGTCGAGCCATTTGAAGTTGCTCCTTCCTTGAGGCTCTGAAGCTGATTGCTTGAGGGGTACATGTTTTTGGTGGGGATTGCGTCAACCAGTGACTGGCACGCCACCATCGCGCCGCCAAGAAAAGAAGACACGGCTTGACACGATGCTATCCTTTCTCCCCCGCCAGTTTTGGCGTTGTCCATTTGCGGCTTCCTGTTGTGATGGCTTTAGGTCTTCTGCAGTTCCTGTTTGCATGCCCCTTGCTTGCCGCTAATCCTTCTCCGTCCCTCGCCGCCTTCCCTCTTTTACAACGTTTTCCTCCAGTGAGTAGAGACTGGTAGGCAGGGGGCGCCCTCAGACCCAAAAACCAAACCAACCAAACCGCGTCCGGTGGGGGCAGTGGGGGGGGTTAACGGACCGAGGCCTTCGTAAACCTCCGGGAGCTCACTGCCTCCATCTCCACCTTGGAGCACGGCCTCGCATCGCTCAGCGCCGACGTGAAGGAGCTCCAGGACGGAGATGGATGCGGATGGACGCGGATGGATGCGGATGGATGCGGGGTCGGATCCATTTTTTTGAAGCCTGTGGGTTGAATGGGTTCTTCCGGCTGAACATGGCCACGGGCTTCAGACACTAGCGTTCATTTTACGGGCTGAATGTCAGGGCCAATAGCGGTAGCGGATGGGCCAGCATATAGTGAAGGCAGCCGCCAGGGACAAGGTGCTGATTGGGGGTGTGTGTTTTTGGAGGGTGCCCCCTTTTTTGACTTGGCTTCAAGTGCCAAAGGTTTTGACTCGACATGCTCAATTCTAGTTCTTGAACTCCCGGGCAGGTTTTCAAGCTCCGATGTTGGTTTTGGATGACTCTTCATCATCAACACATGGCACATTACATTCAGGGCACGCCGCCCATCTACGTTGCAGAGGCACAACAGCTTTCTGGGAGGTTGCTGCTGCTCTTTGTTGGCGGGGTTGAATCAGCAATAGAGGGAGATGTGCAAATCAGAGGATGCTTGCTGAAATGCCCCCTGTTCAATTCGCGCTAGCTCCCAGAATTGCTTTATAGTTAGCCTTACCTTTGTTGTTGCCTTGCCGTTGCAATGCTTCCGCACGCGTAAATATACCTTTATGCAAGGACGCGCAGGATCAGATCAACACCATTCGGGAGGAGGAGACCTCCAAGTATGCCGAAGAGGTCGGACTTGGCGTCCATTGCTTGACATCGCTTTCCCTTCGACAGAATGCATACAGACAGCCCGCATAATCCAGGAGCCACGTCTTCCGAGTGTCGTCTTCTTTGGTCGCGCCGATTCGCCCCTTTAAGATGACTAGGGTGGGCTGAGAGCCAGCGAGTGCCAGCCACTGCCTGGAGGTCGAACTCAACACCCAGTCGGCTCAAACCGCATCTCAGCTTGAAGTGGCGGACATGCGCTGCCAGTTTGGAATTGTTTGCGTCGCCTGTCCCGTGGCTTCTGTTGTTATTCATTTCTTCAGTTGTACTGAAGTGCGCGCAGCAAACCAGCGTGGCTGGCGACAGCTAGATCCATGCCGCTGCATGTTGAATGCTTTTTGATGCGGACTTGCCCATTGTGTGTGTGTGTGTGTCAAGATTGCTGCAGTGATGCTCATGTCTGTTCGCGAGGTCCCACATGTTTGGTTCATGTCGTCACTTGCAATGCCTTGGGATTTGTTGAAGGCTCCCACTTGAGAGCTCAGGTATCTTCCGCCCTGTCAAAAGTGTCCAGCTCGAAATCCGCCTTTTTGCAGAGGCCGGAAGAGGGAAGCTCTTTGCCGCTGGCTGTGATGCAATGGAAATGCACATACGGCCAATCAGTTTACAAACGGCTGGATGGGTTGATTGGGGCAATCGCCTGGATGAATTCGAAAAACCTCAGAGGCAAACGTGTTGCCGCCCCGGGCTTTCAGCGAGGTCAATGTCGTGGTTGTATCCAGGGACAAACGACCTTGTGGTTTCCCTTTAACCCAACCTAAACTTGTCGTGGGAAGGCAGAGTTTGGAGCCGGACAGCGGGTATGTGGTGGGCCTGCTACGGGGCATCCAGGAGCTGGGGCCTGGTCGGGGCAAGTTGAGTGATGTGATTGTTCTGAGGGTATCGTTTTTGGGTGGGCTTAAAGGTAAACCACAGAAAATGTCTACCTACCCAGTTTGGGGGTCTGCTTTGACACACAGACACACACAGAAACACACAACACACACACACACACACACACACACACCCGGCTGGGACTTTGTGATTTGCACACCCATGAAGCAGCCAGCGGACCGTTAGGAGCGCTTGAATCAGACGCGGTCCGAGCTGGACCAAACGGAGGAGGCGAAGAGTAAGACACACTCCACTCTGGCGAGAGCGAAGAAGGACGCGGTGGGCGATGTGTTTGGGCTTGCCAGTTTTTTAGCCTCAGCTTAGTCAGGTGTTTCATGGGCCAATGTCCCCTCACTGTTCGGACCCGTCGGGCCCGTTGGGCCCGTCAGGCCCGTCGGGCCCGTCAGGCCCGTTGGGCCCGTCGGGCCCGTCGAGCCCGTCGGGCCCGTGAAGTTCGTCGGGACTGTCAAGGCCGACAAAAGAGGAGGCTATTAATTTGACGCAGTCGTTGACACGAGGCTGCCGTTGTCTGACAACCCACGCCAGGCACGGAGCAAGATTTTTCCAACTAGCCTACTAAAAGAATTATCAGGCTCACGCCCCCATCCCAGAAGCCAATGCCCTCCAAATCTCACCAGCACGGCCGCTCGGAGTCCACATCCCACCAGCGCGGCCCCGTTGACAGATCCCGCACCCATCGCACCAGAGATGCTTTTTGGAAAACAGGCGCTTGAAGAGACGCTTCAAACGGGCGCTCTGGTTATGCTAGGCACATGGGCAAGCAGGTTCAAACTTGATTGAAGCCAATTCTGTTGTGCGCGTGTGTGCGCCTGCTCCACTTACATGCCCTGTTGGCCTACTCATCTTTCTATCTAGCCATCTGCCTGCCTATTCATCCACGCAGGTCTTTGTGCATCTATTCATCTACCTGTCTATTCGTTTGTGTCCATCCGAGTGTCCATCAACGCATCTGTGCATGTCCCAACCTATTTGTTTGATCCAATCTGCTCTGACCTAATCCAACCTAATCCAATCCATGTGCCTGTCTGCCTATCTAGCTACCTGTTCTCATGCATCTAATCGATCTATCTCTCGGTTCCCTCTGTCTCTATCTTGCTATCCTTCTATCTACATATCTCTCCTACCGATTTATTTGCGTACCTCTCATGTATGTATCGGTCTACCTACCTATCTATCCATCTATCTGTTCATCTACCTACCCATCTTTCTTTCTGTCTTTTTTTGTCTTCTTCAGTTTCATCTATCTGTCTCTGTCCATCTACCTATTTATCTATCTACCATCTTTCCAAGGCACTTTAACCCCATCCATCCATTTACCTACCTATCTATTTTGTTAATGTTGAAACGCATGTGGAAACATGAACTGTGTGTGGAATGCTTGACCACAATGGCATGTGCCATTTTGGCTCAAGCATTGATCTGGGTTCCTGGAACCCAAGCTGTTTGAAAAAAGTTTGATCTGTGGCACTTTCGAACTTAACCCTGACCAAGCAATGGCTTCCTCGGCAACCTCGGCAACTTCCTTTGAGTTGATTGAGGACCAGACACTCACCGTGGAGGAGGTTGAAATGGCCAGCCAGGACATTCGCACACGGGAGGCGGCAGTGGCGGCCGGCTTGGTTTTGGACGAGCCCGAGGCCCCCCCGTCATCTTCGGCGATGTGATGAAGGACCTCTCCAGTGCACTGGAGCGTCTCCATGTGGCATCTGCCACACCGACTTCCGGCTTGGGTGCCCCTGGCCCCGCCGAGGAGGGCGACGAGGGCATGGGGGATGCGGACGGCATGGAGCGGACCACGCCACCGGAGGAGGCGCAGACGCCACCCACGAAGAGACTGAAGGGCTTCGTGGCGGCCTCTCAGAAGGCTACGTCCCAGACCAACAAACCCGTCTCCTTGGTGCCGGTGGACGGCAAACCCGGGTACTTCAAGCTGGTGGACCTCCCGGATTTCCAGCGTCGGCGGCCACCTTGCTGAGGGACATTACGGTGGAGGAGGCGGTCTCCCTGTTCCACAAGTTTGTCGGGAAGAATCTCACCGAGGACCTGGTGATTCGCATCCTGGAGGCGTATGTCCCGATGAAGATCCAGCTCCGCCAGGAGGAAGTCTGGGCTTTGCAGTTCCAGAGGAACAAGGCGTGCATCGGCACCCAGCGCATGCACAGGCTCGATGCAGGCCATTCCGATTACAAGTTCATGTGCAAGGCATGCGGCACGGGGTGGCCAGAGGCAGCCAAGCAGTGCTGGGTCTGCCCCGGCAAGGAGTTCGCCCCCTTTCAGGCACCCTCGGCCACCTATGAGGCGGACGGCATCACCTACAACCTGCTCATCGTGGAGGGCAAGCCGACCTGGATCCAGGAATTGTGGGAATGGGGAAGCCTGGGTGCCACTGGCCCCGGTGGTACCCGGGCACAGGCGCAACTTGGTGGACGGCACGGTCTTGGGGAGAGCCCCTCCAAAAACGGACACGGCAGATGAGATCACCATGGCAGATGCGGTCCCGCTTAACAGGCGGGTGGACATCCGGCAGGAGATCCTGTCCATGGAGGCGGACGACGAGGCGTTGAAGGTCCGGGAAAGCCAGGAGATCAAGGTCAAAGTGCAGCGGTCCCTGAAGGAGGCGGAGGCTCAGAGCTTCCAGCTCTACCACCCCCAGGTGGACCAGGCGATCAGGAAGAAGGAGGAGCTGCATAAGGCCTTGCGGGAGCGTCGGGAACCGACTCCGGAGGAGGCCTCGGCCAGGCGGCGGCACAAGGAGTTGGTCACGGAGGAGATGCTGGACAATGAGATGGCTATCCTGGCGCCTCTCCAGGAGGGCATGCAGGCCCTGCCGTCAGAGGAGGTGGTCAATGAGGGAGCCCGTGCCCTCAGGAAGGTCAACCTGGAGCGTTTCAAGGCCAAGCTGAGAGACCAGTACTTGGAGGGTAAGGGCGTGGACGCCAGCCAGGCGTTGGCTGAGGCGATGGGCTCCATTCAGGAGGCTCAGGCGGCAAACAAGCGAACCCAGGACACCAACCAAGCTGATGATCTCAGGCTCTGGAGAGGGGCCTATTCTGCCCCCTGGAGCTGGATGACCCCGAGGACATCCGCCAGGTGGGGGACATCAAGGAGAAGTATGTCCCCTACATCAGGATGCTCAGAGCGTCGCAGAACCCGTGGCACCAGGAGGCACTGCTGGAGGAGATGCCCGATCTGGTGGCACCGACCACTGGCCCCGGGGGGGACCAGCCAATGTCACAGCAAGACCTGGACTCTGAGGATGGCAAGCTGTCCCTTATCCTCTGGGCAATGAAGCGGCACCAGGGAGAGCTCCGGATGTTTGGGGGGATTTGGAAGAAGCACGCAAGCGGTGAGATCCCCCGGGGCGCGGACCAGCAGTTTAAGCTCGCGCCGGAGGAGCTCCTGGCCCTTGAGCGCAGGACTCACCCACTCACGTGCGAGCAGGACCACATCGACCCAGTCATCTACACGGCCTTGGAGATCCGAGCTCAGGTGAACCGGGGTGAGCGCCCGGCGCCTGAGCAGGTGGTGGGCATTTTCTGGGCGAAAGGTGATGGGGTGTTCTGGACCAGACAGACGAGAATGTGGGACCTGCCGAGCCTTACGGGCGTGTACGCCCACAGGTTCACATTCAAGTACATCTACTCGGCCTGGACCACTTTCCCGTTGATTGTGAAGACGCAACGCCGGGGCCGCAATGCGGAGGGCTCGACCTCGGACAAGTGGATGGGCAACATCCTCCAGATGAGGAAGGAGGCGGTGCCCTTCCTGGAGAGCCTGGGCATCCCCAAGCCGCGCAACAAGGAGGAGTGGAGCTACATTTTCAAGGAGATGGGGACATTTCTGGCGGCAAAGAATTTCATCGTCAACTGCCCGTTGCCCGTGATGGAAATGCCGGTGGCCCCCATCCATGACAGTAAGGAGGCGCTGCGTTTCAGGGCAGTTTGCGACGAACGAATCACCCTCCCGCTGGCCGCGCTGAAGGCCTTCGACTCGGTCTACACCAAGTTGGTGGCGGGCCTGAGCAAGTCTTCGATGGTGGAGGTGAAGGTGAACTGGCGCTGCAACGTGGTCCACGACTGGGTCGAGCAGGTCCCACAGGAGGCGGCGGGGGCCTTGTACGACAGGTTGGGCTACTCTCAGGACCTCATCCGGCAGCTGGGTTGCTCCCCCCCCTTGGGTGCCGTTGGCCCTGGGGGGGAGCGGCCAAGGAGGCGCCAAGGCCAAGGTCACGGGGGGGGCAGACACCGCTCCCCAGGGCACCAGGCGGTACCCGCCCATCACCACGGCCACGGTCACGAAGTACATCAACAAGCACTTCCCCAAAGAGACGAAGCATGTGTTTTGGGCCTCCGTGGAGTGTGGCTTGGTCCTGCCCAGCATCAGTGCCTGGGAAGTGGTGAACAAGGAGAAGTTCAAGACCACGGGGGGCTACATGTGCAGATTTTGCAAGGGCTTCTGGAAGGCGAGCCGCGGGGGGACCAGACTGCTCCAGATCACGGGGTGGCACAAAGATAAGGCCACCTGCTTGCAGCTGGTGATGGACGAGCCCCCGGAGCAGCTGTACAATCAGTGGATCCGGGATCGGATGGAGAGGGTGGAGCCAACGGAGCCTCCCAGGGATGAGCGGCTGGTCCTGGGTGAAGCGGGCACCCCCCGCATGCGCTTCAGCTCCTCGAACGGCCTGGAAGATGTCTCCACTGCCCTGTGGTCGGTCATCTTGAGCAACCCGGAGAAGTCGGGGCTGGCGGCAATCCACTCGGTGGCGAAGGAGGCGATCCTGAAGGGAGGGAGCCGCTAGGTTTTGTCTCACAACCCTGTCGGATGTGGGAATCATGTGCTTTCTTCCCGCCGGGACTTGGGTGCCTTTGGCCCCGTCTCCGGGGGGAGGGGTATAGGGTTTTCCTTGATGGGTTCGTTTTTCACCACTGTTTTCCTCTCTTATTCGACACGCACGGCAGCTTGATCTCCACGACCATTGGGTCACAGGCCTTGGCTGCCCCAAGGACGGGCCATCTCAGCCACGGTTCGGAAAAGGTGGCCGCGGCTGACTCTTGGTTTCCTTGAGGTCCCCTTGGGGTTTTGGGGATTCCCCCGACGGGTCGGTTTCCCCCCCTTGTGCTTTTGGGGGTTTCTGGGGGACTGATTTTGGGTCGCTCTCCCCCCCCCTTCCGGTTGAATTCTCGGGACTTTGGGGGGGACCTGTCGGGATGCGTGTGGCCTGCCTGCTCCATTTGCACTCTGCAGTCTGCGAG